GCCGACTTTAACATCAGCTCGCATGCGAAGACGAACTGCTGTGAGAAGTTGTTCTTGTACACCGTCGATCATTTCCTTCTCCGTACGTTGTTCACGCTTCTCTTCCTCGCGTGTGATGTACGACGTTTCATAGTATTTAGATACATTGACTGTACCATTGGCCGTTGCAATTAATAGATGAGCAGGTGGAACTTGTTGAATATTTTTGTAAATTGTTTGTAAACTACGTAATTGCCCTGTATTATAAATAACTTCTTCATTCCAAATGGCTGGAACACTAAATAAAGTCATATTTTGAAAGAGAAAACAATTACTTATTGACCAAATTACCCGAATTCGAACAAAGATTTGATTTCCGATGCAAACAAAAGTTTGTTATCATGATAGGTGTAATACAATGGTTTAATACCAAACCGGTCTCGCGCTGCGATGAACATCTAGACAAACTGATCATTAGAAAGAGATTAACAAACAACGATAGAAATACTTTGCGTTCATTGTCGTAAAGAGTAATGGCAAATTCGCCACGAAGATATTTAACAAAATCTAATCCATATTTTCGATAGAGATACAACGCAATCTCGCTGTCACTTTCGCTGAGAAAATCATATTCATTCTGTTCGATCGCTTGTTTACGAATACGATCATGATCATACAGTTCACCATTCATTGATAAATGTAGTTGTCTATCGTAAGAATGCAATGGTTGTCGACCGCGATCACTAAGGTCGATAATTGATAAACGAGTATGACCAAGACCAACCGTTCGTTCATCATTCTGCCATAAGGACGGTTCGCCATCTGGACCACGATGTTTTACGGTGGTTAAACCACGCAATAGCGATTGATAATCTCGATCAGATTGAATATGAGAAGGACGTGAGGTGTAAACATATGATACAACGCCACAGCAACGACGAGATGTTGTATGAATTTCTCGATAGTTTAGTTTTGTCTTTAGATGAAGGAACATGCGTAGAAGCATCTTGACTATATTCTGATCGTACACATTCGTGAATTAAATGACATAGTTACATATATATATATGAAGAAAGAAAGTAAACCCTGGAAAGATAAATATACACTTTGAATAAGTCCTTTCTCGTATATACGTAGATATAACGGCAGAAGAATTTAAAGAAAAGAATTGTTTTTCGATCTTTTATTCTCAATAGAAACTTTTCTCGTCACTAGTGTTTTTTTTCTTTTCTTCAACGTCCAATAATGCAGCCGTATGTAACAACGCTTTTTCAATCTCTTTCGATGTTGCTTGACCAGCATAAAGGCGTAGTTGTGAAGCTGTTAACATGACATTTGTTCCTGTATTTTCTTTGTTTTCAAAAACTTTCTCGATGGCATCTTGACATGCATCGCTAATTAAATCTCGCTCGGTAGATAATGCACAAACCATACTTCGAGCCCCTGCTGTCTCACATCCAAAAATTAATCGAGCGGCAACTCTGTCACCAACTACGCGGCCAAGTAAATCAAAGCTTTCATCAATATCCCGAGGCATTTCAGACATAATCACATGTGTTTGAAAGTGTTCTTTTGCCATTAACTGTTGAAATAGCTTCTGGCGAGGATTATCGTGACCAACAGGCCAAACAGTTGGAATGATCACATAAGTATCTGTCCATTTACCCATCGCTTCCAATTCCGATTTCCAAGCTTCTAACTGAGGTTTCGCAGAAACGACTTGAATCTCCGCTGCACGAGCCATAGAGACTATCACATGAGGAAGTATCGATTGGCAATATTTTTGAAAATCATGAACATGAACTGATTTATCATTTAAACATCGTTGAAGATATTCTTGTGTATAAATTAACATAGTTCGATAATGTTCATGTTCGCTTGATTGCGTTTGTAGTGTTGAAAGAGCAACAGTAATCTTATTATTTACCACCATTAATTTATCTTCCCATCCACTGACGGTGGGCTGAGCAAAATATGGACTGATGATGCTGTAAACGCACAATGGCATATGGGAAAGATTTTTGTAGATTTCATATTTAGCCGGTGGAACCTTCGTTCGACGCGTTGATCCATCTTCCAGATATAAAGTAAACATTGATCCAACGCCACGATGATGCATGTCATTCTCACTGGCTATGATACAAGGAAAAATATTTCGGCCAACTTGACGGATCATTTGGCTATAGTGCTCGCGCATAGTCAGATGAATATCGCGAGTAGCAAAGAGAATTTGCTTTGTATCAGAACCACGCCAGGCTGCTATGGGCAGGAGTTGTTCAATAGAAGGTGTAAAGAGTGCAGCTAATTTCGTTGGATCATCCCAAGTTGGGATGGAGACAGAAACAGATTGACCATGATGGATGTTTGACGATACATAGGTAATATGCGTTTCTTTTCTCTTCGCATGATAATCTGCTGCTTCTTTTTCGATGGTTTCTTCTTTAATGTAAAAGAAGAATCGATTTCCGATCTTATCAACAATCTTACCTGAATGATTCGAATTCATGTTGCTTTTGGATGTATAACTGTACGGACACACGCTCATGATTACAACAACGGCTAATTTCAAATTTTGTTAAGAAAAAACTTCGCAGTACACTTTATATAGGTACAGATGACTAGAAGTCTTACATCGATTACTAGTACGTCACACATGCTTTTTATGTTCGTATCCATGTCATCTATCTTTTAAAATACGTCAGTAGTAAAACTATCAGAAGACAATTTACGTATGTCTCACGCCTGCAAGTGTCTTCAATGCCAAAGTCAATACGATCACCATGCTTTGACCTACGTATTTTCTTTATCCATATACATATATTGTTACTTTGAGTGCGTCAATGCCAACCGAAAAAAAAACATCATCATTTGCACACATCTCCACTTTCTATGTGATTTTAATGGATTTACTTGTTGGCTTGTAAATGTCAATTTGTACTGTTCGAAAGATTTCGCTGAATTATCGCATTCCATAACTCGTGTTTAATCAAGACATTTTAAGTTCACTATATAGTTATTCTGTCACAATACCAACAGTAACGACAATGGAACTGCACTAAATTTTGGCTTAAAATAGGAAGAAAAGCAAACGAAAAGGTAACATTCGATTGTTCTAGATTCTAATCAATGTAAGACCTACAGAAAAATCGTGTAAATTATTAAGCCTTGATGTAGTATCCCATATGAAGTGATGAATTTCTAATGATTCGAAGAGGCTATGGAACGATGAATTACATATTACAATTTGTCATCGATGTGTTTTAAAATAATTTGATCAGGAGGTCACTTCCAAATAATATTTTCGTGATAAGAACTCGAGCAGATGAAAACAAGTTCTCATCGAACTATTTATGCGTATTAAATATTCAAAACAATAGTGATTCAGTTATCTCGAAGACTTTGCTGTTGAATCAACACATGCCGACTGCTGAATATGAAATCTGACCGAGAGAGAGAGAGAGTATTCTCTTACTATTCTTGCTGACATCTGTGTATTTTGTATGAAATGAAAACTGATGGTGATCAATGAATTGTATTTCCGAAACGAGATGATTTCTGTCGAACATGTTTTGTATATGGTCAATTAGCTGTCTTGGCCAATCAAGATTTGTACCGATTACGCGTTGTTTTAGAAGATTGACTGAATACTATAGTTTTCGAATGTCAGACGAACAAGGTACCCACCGACTGAAATTAGGCCCATAAACGAAAACGAATGCTACATATTCGTTGAATGATTACAACAATATGTAGTTTTCAACTAAAGACAAAGGTAAAGATTTACTTTCGACAGATTCGTATGCTGAGGTTTATAATCGTGCTTATTGTCTTTGTGGTCAACATCCGACCATATATTCTAAAGAAGATGATTACTAGTATCTTACAAATCATGATTGTATAAGTTTGTCAAAACAATATATCACACCACTTAGCTCTAGTTTGTCTATGTATCGATGACAAAAAATATTTCCATATAGTGAACTAATTATCAATACACATAAGTGTGTTTTATTATTTTAAAAAAGTACACGAAACTTACCGTTGTACAGATACGTTGAATAATTGCCCTTATATTCGATACCACACATGTGCATTATTACGAAGAAGAAAAGACTAATCTTCATCCACGAAATTTTATGATTTTTGTTTGATGCTATAGAATAGCTGAATGAAAATCGAGCAGACCATAAGACCAACGATGTGCTATTTTATCATGTGCATTTTTTTTTGCTCATAGGTCGATTTGAACGTATCGCCCATGTTGCTCCGATTAAAAGTGATATCTAATCCATTGTGATGCTGCGTACGGAGGAAGTCTACACAAGATTTCTTCCTAATCACGACATTACTCAAAGACAATTCATTGATCGTTGGAAGAAAAAAACAATTGATATTCATTGATGGATATTCTATTTAGTTGTCTTTTGTATTGGTACATTGTCTTGAACAATACACGTCAGTATTAGATCATTTTCTTTCTGCGTACTAGTTACATTGATTACGACTTCCCTTCTTACTTTTGCATATCGAAACCAAATGTGTTTCTATACGTATCTTATACGAATAAAAGAAATATTTGGTCGCTTTTCTTTCTTTCCGGCTCATCGTACATAACTTAGCAGGTAAAATCAGTGAGATAGCATCTCGTTGTGATCAAGCTTATTTGAATGATAGTCTTCGCATGAAATGATTGTCATTGTTATCGAATATGATCTTTATTGGAATCGGGTATTGGAAACACGTGTTTGTGCAAAAAAAAATGAAAAGAATCGATTCTGTTGTATAATTCGATTATATGAAACTTGCAAGTGAAACATATGTAGTTATTTTTGACGAAATATAAACTTGAAATCGATCAAGAACTGCATATCAGATGAGGAAAAAAAACAGAAAATATTCACATATTGTGATCTATTTTGAAGATAGAATGCTGTTGAGAGCGAAAAAGAAACGAACGAATTGAAGACTATGAATTACATCTAAGTTTCTGCATCGTTCTAGACTTTTCGTTTTTGTTTTTACACACAAAGATATATCACCATAAGCTATTAGCGTTCATGGTGGAGAAGGTATCGTTTGTAAAAAGCATTTTCGTTACGTTCTCGATTTTTCAAGTGAGTTTACTTCGTTTCTTTTTCTTCTGTAAAAAAAAAGAGACTCAATTTGTACAGATTGTTTGCGCACGGCCCTTCGGAGAAAATGGTGACGATTCATCGAGTGATAGTCTCTTTGATGATTATGAAATGGTGTCTAATCAGCATAGAATATCAGGTACTAACAATGACGCGAAGGACGTAAACAAAATAAAATGTTTTCGATTGAATTTAGATGATCTTCGATTGAGATTGACAAACATTTATCCTGGGAATACGTGTCCTATTGCCGAATTGTATCATACGATCGTTAACAGTGGCCAGAGAGATACTTCTTATTATTGCCGGTTCCATCGAGAAATTACGAATTATTTTAGTAATCGATTATTCGTTGGCGAACTGACAGAAGAGAAGACAATCAACAGAGTAGAAGTATTGTTTTATGATGAATCGAATCAAGCTGTCTTAGATCCATATGGTAGTCTAATTCGATACATATCCAGTGCAGACGATCTGGGACATACTTTGGAATTACTCGAATTACAATTTTCATTTACGTATATTGAATTTGTGTTAACATTACAATCTGACGCTGTATTTAATAGACAAAACCTTTTCTTCCATTTTTCACATTCAATATCAGAAAGTAGGCCATGGAGACGATGATGCGAAACAGTAAAATTGTATCGTTTATTTTGTGTTAAGACGATGTAACTGGAAGAATTATTGGACCAACGCTGTACCTTCTCGGCCCAAGAAAACCCATCTACACCGTAACGACGACCTGTCCAGTTGATATAAGATGTGTGTGGCTGTTAGCACATCAAATTATTTTCAATGGGCCCGATACGTCTGTCGCTTTAGATTGTACTGAAAACCATATTGGCAATGCAGTATTATCTTATGTGAGTATCATCAACGGCATTCAACAAATCCTAGCATCACTTTCAATACAAGTATGCAAAAAATGCGCAAAGAGTAAGTTAAGTTTATCGAATCTTAGAACGATACTTGATCTCTCGTGACTCATCTTCCACGAAATCAATCATCATGGTTAATATTGACTCCTTTCTATTTGCTGATGCGCATCAGCAGAAGTAGCGATTTACCTGTCAGACGGGAACCATTTGTTCACACTGTTCCATATGGTCATCTTACCATTCGTGGCCAAAACACTTCGTTTTCTCGTCATTTGACAGATCATTCTCAAGCATATAAAACCGACCCCTACTATCAACGTCCTTTGTCCTTCACAATAATCAGAACAATTCATTCACACATCTTGCTCTCACCAAAATTCCAGTAGATCACTCAAACCCACTCATATCAAAACTCCATTCATCCGTGACTTTCCATCCCCGAATTACAGTTTCAAAAACTGTCCCCTACATCCAATCCCACACAGACACCTACGGTGTGTGTGTGTATTTTTTTTACCTCACAGGCATTCCCACGTAACGAACCGCTCTAACCTTCTTAATCTGTGAAGCTTCCCTTGCCCATACCGAACATAACACCTTGTATTTACAAGCTACTATAGATTTACTTCTTCTCTTCCGACCACAACCCTATCTCATTCACAATTTTCATCTAACCATCCCTTTTTCTAAAGATAAACGAACAACAACCAGCACATTGCCTTCAATCACCACTTACAATACCACATTTTCCAATATACCACCCACCCTGACCACTAGTCAGGACTCATACGCGACTACATTATACTCTACCGTCGCAGCAAACAAATACACCACTGACGAAAAACATTCTATTGTGACAACAGATTCTACCATGAGTTCAACCGAATCCACCACTACATCCATACATTCTACAACCAAAACGATTGAATCGACCACCGCTACAGATGATTCTAGCACTGCTACGATCGAATCAGTCACCACGACACCCAATTCTACTTTAGCCACAGATTCTACTACTATCACCATTCAATCGACTACCACAACAGATTCCACCACTACTACTACTGAATCCGTGATCACCGTATCCGATTCCACTTCAGCGACGGATTCCACGAGTACTACCATTGAATCGACTACAACAACAGATTCCACCACTAGTACTGATGAATCGGTGACCACCACGCCCGATTCCACTTCAGCGACGGATTCCACGAGTACTACCATTGAATCGACTACAACAACAGATTCCACCACTAGTACTGATGAATCGGTGACCACCACGCCCCATTCCGCTGCGGCGACGGGCTCCACGAGTACTACCATTGAATCGACTACAACAACAGATTCCACCACTAGTACTGATGAATCGGTGACCACCACGCCCGATTCCACTTCAGCGACGGATTCCACGAGTACCACCATTGAATCGACTACAACAACAGATTCCACCACTAGTACTGATGAATCGGTGACCACCACGCCCGATTCCACTTCAGCGACGGATTCCACGAGTACTACCATTGAATCGACTACAACAACAGATTCCACCACTAGTACTGATGAATCGGTGACCACCACGCCCGATTCCACTTCAGCGACGGATTCCACGAGTACTACCATTGAATCGACTACAACAACAGATTCCACCACTAGTACTGATGAATCGGTGACCACCACGCCCGATTCCACTTCAGCGACGGATTCCACGAGTACTACCATTGAATCGAATACCACAACAGATTCCACCGCTACTACCACTGAATTGATCTTCACCGCATCCGATTTTACTTTACCCACAGATTCTACCACTACTACCACTGAATGGACTACAACAACAGATTCCACCGCTACTACTACTGAATCGATCTCCACCACACCGGATTCTACTTTAGCGACAGATTCTACCACTACTACCACTGAATCGAGTACAACAACAGATTCTAACGCTATTACGACTGAATTGGTGACCACCACACCCGATTCCGCTGCGGCGACGGATTCCACGAGTACTACCATCGAATCGACTGCAACAACAGATTCCACCACTACTACCACTGAATCGGTGACCACCACGCCCGATTCCGCTGCGGCGACGGATTCCACAATTACCACCATTGAATCGACTACCACAACAGATTCGACCGCTAGTACCACTGAATCGGTCACCACCATACGCGAATCTGCTTTAGCGACGGATTCCACGGCTGCTAGCATTGAATCGACTGCGACAACAGATTCCACCACTACTACCACTGAATCGGTGACCACTATACCTGATTCCGCTACGGCGACGGATTCCACGAGTACTACCATCGAATCGACTGCAACAACAGATCCCAGCACTACTACGACTGAATCCGTGACCACCACACCCAATTCTACTTCAGCGACGGATTTCACTGTATCATCAGACTCTAGCAGTGCTAGGATGGAATCAGTGACGATCACGCTCGATTCTACTTTACCGAGGGATTCCAGGACTAGTACCACTGAATCGGTCTCTAAGATAGCCGATTCTAGTTCAGCGACAGATTCCACGAGTGCTACCATGGAGTCGACTACCACGAACGATTTTAATGCTACTAAGACCGAATCAGCCACCACGATACCGGATTCTACTTTAGCGACAGAATCGACGAGTATTACCATTGAGTCGGTCAGCGTCATACCTGATTCTAATTTAGCGACGGATTCCACTGTATCATCAGACTCTACCAATACTACCATTGAATTGACTACCACAACAGATGTTAACGCTAATACCACTGAATCGCTGATCATTGTACCCGATTTGACTTCAGCGACAGATTCTACTACTGCCACCATTGAATCGACTTCCACAACAGATTCCAATGCTACTACGACTGAATCGGTGACCACCACACCCGATTTTACTTTACCGACAGATTCCACGAGTACTACCACTGAATCGACCACCAGAACAGATTCCACCACTACTACCACTGAATCAGTCAGCACTATACCCGATTCTACTTTAACGACAGAATCGACCAGTATTACCATTGAATCGGTCACCGCGATACCTGATTCTAATTTAGCGACGGATTCCACTGTATCATCAGACTCTACCAATACTAGCATTGAATCGACTCCTACAGCAGATCCCACCGCTGCTACCACTGAGTCGGTTACCGCCACCACACGCGATTCTGCTTCGGCGGCAGATTCTACCACTACTACCATTGGGTCGACTAGAACAACCGATTCGAACGCTACTACCACTGAATCGGTCACCGCCACGCCTGATTCTGCTTCAGGGACAGATTCCACTGTATCGTCAGAGTCTATCACGGCTGCGATTGAATCGATAGCGACCACGATAGGTGCCACTAGAACAATAGATCCCACGGTTACTGCGATTGAATTGGTCACCAGCACACGAGATTCTACAGTAGCCACAGTGGCCATCAGTACTACGATTGAGTCGACGATGACTACGGTTAGCACCGAATTGAAGAGCATAGCTGATTCTACTGTAGGAACGGCAAAATCTACTAGTCTGACTGGGTTGTTGACAACTGACAGGGCTGAAACCGGTGGAGGGATAAGTGGAAATGTTTTTGCCACATTAGGATCTTTTAGATCAAGCGCGCCGTCTGCCGGTAACACTAGTTTAGGCGGTGAAAATAGTAGTTTTCACGAGGACACCAATACTAGTAGCGATCCTGGAAAACGTAATGTGACAACGACTGCAATAGGGCCCGCTACTTTAAGTAGTGAGGCAACCACCAAAGCTGCGTATCAAACTATAACTATGGGAATTTCGTCCAGTGGCACAACTAGGGAGGCGACCGCCAGCACCACGCATCAAACTATGACCACAGGATTGTCGTCCACCAGTAGAAGTAGTCAGTCGACGACCACTAGCACCGCACAACGAAATACAGCAACCACGATAGGTTAGTGCTTCTAGATTTCTGTTTTTGTTATCGGTAAATGATGGCAGTGTTGAGATTGATGAGCTGGTCTTAGAAAGAGTTTAGATAGGTTTGCTCTTGGCATGGAACGTTGAAGATGAGTTGATTTAGTGTGTTCGAGAAGCCAGATAGGAAGGCTTGAATGTTCTTATGAGGGAAGGTCATCAACATTAAAATCGCTTTCGATTCAAAGCATAGTCCACCGTAGGTTATCGACCATGCTGATTCCGAATAGGATGATCTCCACGGCTAATGCTCTGCCAGAGAGTCGGTTTTCTGAAAAGCCGACTTCCAGAACACCACTTTTTTTCAAATGTTGTTTTGTCCATATATCAATGTTTAATCCTTTCTTGAAAGAGTCTACTCCAGGAAAAGAAGATAAAGTTTTGAATTTTTATATAAAAATGCTATGATATACGTTCCTCATATAAATTTATATGATTGCGTGTCCTAGAAAAATCGATACTAAATAGAAACAGTTGTTGTTTTATAAACAATTCGACATGCTCTAGAACCTGAGATAATAAAAAACAACATTTGGAAAACATTGGTACCCTTGAAGCCAGATTTCCAGAAAAACGAGTCTCTGGTAGAGCATTAGCCGTGGAGACCGTCGTATTCGGGATCAGGATGGTCGATAACCTACAGTGGGCTATGTTTTCAATCGAAAGCGATTTTAAAGTTGGTGACCTTTCCGCGTTAGACATACAATGTGGCATGATAGCTTGTCGAGGGTTTTAGTGGTGATATGGAATGTATGAAAGTCGCGGTAGGAAATAGAATAATAGAGTGGGCCAGTTACAGCCTCAAGATTTACGAGGTGGAACAGTATGTGAAAGAAATAACGTTTGAGATCATGGTGCATGTACCGTAAAAATGGTTTTAGTATTTAGTTGGTAGGTTGCAGATGAATTGTTGGAAAAGAAATAGTACGATTGTAAATTTTTGAAGATAGAAATTGTTTCTGCAGTATTGCAATAAATTAGGCAAGTATGCCATGCAATACAAGAGTACCTCGGAAAGCGCTATTGCTCTTGCTATTCTTCCCGATCTTGTCGTCGAGAATGTATGTACGAGGCTCTTCCTAGGATTATGGAATAAGCTAGAGATGTTGATTGCGTCTTGCGTAGAAATTCTCAGAAAAGTTTCAATCGAGGTGTATTCATTGGTGACGGTGGGATAAATTTCTTTGCAGTAAATTGTTTCCTATACAATAGTATGAGTTATATTCCTTCTTATTTCCTCGAAAACGATCGAATGATAAAGAAATCTTTTTTTATTTTGTACAGTGTGTTCGTTGAGCAGTATCGAGAACGGTGGCTTCGAAAATGGTAGTTCTGTTGGGTGGATTGTCGGTGGTGGAAACCGATCTTCGGTACTATCATCCCAAATTCAGCCAGAGGACTATCTACCGAATGGCGCGCGATACGAAGAATCAATTGCTCTTAACAGTTCTTCAATTGTAACACAGGGCGAAGATCCGTTAGTAACAAGCCTCCTATCCCGCATTGTTTATGCTGGTAATTACGCATGGCGTGTCGGTGATATGGCAAAAGGTACTCGTGTAGCCGTAATTAGTCGACAGGTCGATAACTATTATTGTTCGGATATGTACTTTGCATGGTTAGCTTATTTAGAAGTCGGAGATCATCCCCAAAACGAATCCAGCCTTATAATAATCGAACTGAAAGATATAAGTAACAACGAAACCTTACTTTCACGACGTTTCGATTCTGCAGTGAATTCAACAAGTGACTACAAGTTTATTTCCTATAGGGATAATACTATTTATACACCCAGTTGGCAAGTTGAACATGTATCTATTAACCAATCTTATCACGGTCACAATTTTACCTTGACGGTACTTGCTGCAGATTGTCGAGAACAATTTCATTCAAGTTACGTCTATATTGACAGTTTTGGTAGCGTCAATCCAAGTCAGTAGTGCTTATAGATGAAAATAATGTTCTGGAAACTGCGTACTGTTTCGAGGAAACTTGATTTTGACAACGTCAAGTTTCATGTCCAACTTACAGTTCTTTTTGTTGTCGTTTTTTCAATTTGAAATTCTTCAATAAAGTAGAACATGAATATTTCATTTCAACAGAATCCTTATATAATGACACTTTTAAGTAAAGATCGCTGACGATAAAGCCAGGACAGATTTGTTTGGAATCTTCTCTATGTTTTAGAAAAATATGTAATTTTATGGATTGTCTTAGACATGTTGTTGTATGGCCAGAATAGGCCTTTGAAAGAATTAATTATTAATGCAATAACAATTCGCCTTAGATGTCAGACGTGCCCTATGCATCGTATCTGAAAAGCGAACCAGAAATTGTGTAAGATGGTCATGAGGTATACTCATAGGTAGCTTGGAACAATCGTCACTTCTTTTGAAAATCAACTACTACCCGACCAACGAAACGTAACATGAAAATCATAGAAATAAATCGATGAATTGATTACTATGCGTATATTGTTCATCTTATTCCCTTGTCATTAAAGAAAAAAATTTGCCTCTTCTCTAGTGAGATTTGTTTTCCATGTAGCTTACAAACAGCTTCATAAAACAACCCGAATATGAAAGATTATCATGAGAGAATATCCAAAATAAGAATAGTACCGATATGTTTATTAATATAACTTGCTGGATTATCGATCTTCAATGTAGGTACATGTAGCCCACCCTGCCAAAACAACGGAACTTGTACGATATATCACAACTGTACATGTGCATCTGGCTTTACTGGTCAAACATGTAACATTCGTAAGTATTCAAGAAGTGGGTGTTATGCACATACTTTATGCTTCTCTTTGCTAGAATCTGCTAATCTTTGCTCGGCAAATAATACATTCAACAGCACTCCTATTATATTAGTTACATTTGGTTCTGGCAAACAGCAACATTCTGCCGCTCAACCTGCTAGTTTTAATTTTTCGACCACTTATTCGCAAGTTTTTCAAAGTGTACCAAGCGACGGCCATTTTGCTTTCGTCAATTCTGTTCCTTCTGGTTACGATACGTGGCATATCGGTGCTCTTGATCACACAGAAGATACAAACGGATACATGTTTCTCGTAAACGCGGCTCTCGCAGCCGGCCAATTCTACAATAGTACAACCAATCACCTATGTATTAATAAACGCTATGAATTTTCAGTTTACTTAGCTAATGTTTGCAAGAAAGATTGCTTAATAATGCCAAACGTTCGATTTGAAGTTCGAAGCACATCAACTAACCATACATTACTTGCACAACTAGATTCAGGAAACATACCAATGAATCCAAGTATTTTAGATTGGAAGAAGTATGGCCTTTCATTTATACCGCCGACCAATTCCGTTACTCTATTAATGATATCGAACGCTGCAGGTGGCGATGGAAATGACATAGTCATTGACGATATCGCATTGCGTGTTTGTGCAGCGCAAGGTGCTGGTTTTTGCTGACCTCGAAACAATCCAAATGCTTTACCTTATAATTAAAGTCATCAAATGATAATTTTTGCTTCAATAATTGGGAATCGATGTATATAATCGCTTGATTTTAATTTCGAATAAACATTAGGTATGTGATAGACAACATGTCTATATTCCATACCTTTTGTAACAAGAAATATATAAACTTGTTCCGATTCAAGTTATAGTTCTTTTAGTTACAAATGTTTTTTTCTTCTTTCGAAATTTCCTGTCACATCGCTTTGCTTCCCAATTCTCACTCAATTAATTGATTATTTCAATGTGAAGTTTGAGACATACTTATTCATGATCCAACTTGCGGCACGAAAGCATTTCAGATTGAATGCAAATCGAAGTTTATGTGTAATGAGTCTGAGAATATATTCAGACTAATTAACTGTAACAGAAATCGGTAGATTATCGAGAAAAAAAGAACCGTGTTAGAATCTTATCATTTCGTCCCTTTCATATCGATTCTCATCTTCATGAACAACTATTTGTTTTGATTTTTTACTTTCCAGTCTAAATGATTAATATAAACAAAGTAGAGTACATCCATCTGACATTAATCAATCTTACTTCATAAAATTCATCTGTTCGACATCAGCGACCGATTGAGGCAATGGTTGATGCAATGTTTCAGGAAACATCAATGCCAATAATGCAGCAATGAACGAAGCACAACCATAGAATAATACTGGAAAATGAATCCATAATCGTGTCTAGAACGAAATAGTTCGGAACATAAACGTGATTTTAATTTGATCTTTACCAGATTATCATTCGAAAATGTTCCGATAATCGCACCGATACGTGCGACCATTGAACAAATTCCCATTCCGGTGTTTCGAACATTCGTTGGGAAAAGTTCGTTTGCATATATGTAAATAATTGCGTACGATGACGATGCGAGGAATTTCAAAGTACCATTAATAATATTCATGATTATCTTTTCACCTAAACGAATCGAATTGTGGCATGGAAATAATTTGCGTAAACGAACTTTGCCCATCTTTTTCCATCAGATATTGAACAGGAAGTATGAGAAATGAGACAAATGAGAACATGATGACAAATGTACAATAAGGAACTTTTCGACCGACTCGATCAAGCATGGAATGAACAACAATATATCCGAGCAGTTCGACAAAGGCACTAATACCAAATGATGTATATGGATCGAAATCCCACGAACCTATTTGTAAATTCGTATGTCATTTTATATGATTTCAGACGAAAAACAACCTGTATTCTGGGAAACACCGTAGAAAACAAGATTTTGCACGAGCCTAAATGACAAAATAACAATGTAAGAATGTTTTTTTTTATAAAATGTACTATACTACCATTGAAAAAACAGATTGATGCTAATCATTGCCATGATTTTCGATTGGAATAGACTTTTTACTCCTTCCTTGTGTTTTTCCTGTGACATAATCTAAATTCGAGACATCGAACATTCATCCTCTCATCAAAAAGAACTTGCTACTTACTTCGATTTGCTCCTGTTTAAGTTGTTCAAAAGCATTTGTATCAAACTTATGTCCATTCATTTTAGCAATCTTTCTTAAAACTTGTTCACCTTCATCAAATCGACCTTTACTTATCAGCCATCGTGGACTTTCGGGTAAAATGCTTCTCATACGAAAGAAGTTTACACATAATATTAGTTGTACTCTTCGAATTGATTAACTTACTAATAAAAGAAAAGATACGGATATGTAAATAAAGATATAGCCCATGTTAGAGTTCGCCATGTTCGAATAAAATATGCGAATATTAATAGAATCATTTGGCCAAATGCAAAGAAATATTCAATAACAATGCCTGTCAACAGTCGTTTTTCTGGTCCAACTACAGATTATCAATAAAACGTTTTATGTCAAGAGACTTTCGCCAATTACCTATTTCAGAACCGAGCACAAAACCAGATACGGAAATTCCCCTCGTCGAACAGGCAAGTAGAAACCTCGCCAAGACAAATATCACATAGGATGGCCAAAATCCCAGCGATTTCTGTGGTCCAAATGTACACAATAAACTCGATAATGTCATTAGAAGAAAACTAATGCTCATAATCGGTCGGCGACCATACCTACGGAAAGAAAAACAATTACGAAAGGAGAGATTGGATCTCTAGGAGTGTTTATACTTATCAGCAAGGATGCCGAATAGAATCGAACCAACCATATAACCAACAAAGAAAATCATTTGTACCCATGAACGGTAGCCAACACGATCGCAGACCATATTCCACTACAAGAAATGGCTTTAACTAAGTTGTTTATTCAAATCAAAAGTCTACTTCTTCGATTAATGTTTTTTTGTAGTATGTACGATCGAAAACGTAATCGTCACATGTTTGTAATGTCGAATTGATCAACGATGAACGCAGAAAACATCGTTGACATTCTTTTAACGAAAGAGATTTTTGATGTAATAAACATTGTTCACTTGTTGGACGATAGTCTTCGTTGAATAAGGAATCAAACGTTTGATTATACTTGTCTATTGATTGTAATGAAGGATTTCGACAACGAAAATTAGGTGTAGCAGCTGTAAATGAATATGTGTACACCATAATTGGCGGTAACATGTATGTTAAACATATAATCGCGTATTTGATCTTTTGAAATCGTCCCCAATCGTTTATTACGAATAAAAACTCGTCAAACTTCATCAAGAAGATATTCTTCTTCTTCGTCTCTACTTCGTACAAGCACGAACACCGCAAACGTGTGCTATTCTTTGTTTTATCGAATCAATTGAAAGATGATTTCATACACAAGAATGAAACCGATACATCGTTCTCATGCAACCATGTAGATTGATAACTATTCCAATGATAAAATATGGCAAAGTTGATCATCGGTGAGAACAAAAGAGCAAGCCTAACACAACTATCACGCGAAGATACCTTTCTCATAATGACTCATCGCAATAAAACAAAGCACTTCCTTCGAATTAGTCACAGATGATGTATTTACAAAATGTAATATATTCAGGTGAAAAGATTCATTTGTATTGACTTTCTCTGCTGTAAACACGTCGCACGTGAAACAATAGCCATGTCCTCTACACATTCTTCGAAGTCGAAGCCGTATACACTTAACGAATGTTCGATTTGTTTGAGTGCTCTGAAACAAGGTGCACCAATTCTTACGCTATCGTGTGAGCACAAATACCATTTTCAATGTTTAATGTTAAGTATCCGAGCACAACATAAACAATGTCCATTATGCCGAGCGACAATTGACGAATCAATTGTTCAATTGATAGCTGCGAATCGTAATAATACTAGTTATCATAGTTCACGATCTTCATCTGTAAACAATCTCTTTCCAACAACACATCTCTCTAATCGTTTTCTATTTACAAGGATAATTTACTTGGATCAAACGTTGAATCATCGTCTGGTCTTCCGACAATTTCCGTAACTCCCCGACTTGAATATAAAGGACAATCATCGGAAAGACCATCGAATATCTATGGACTTGTCACACTCCAAGCAAATTCGACAGGACACCGTTCTTCGTCATCGTCGTCTCGTGTACCAATTGATCTTATTTGTGTTGTTGATCAGAGTGCATCGATGTCCGGAGCTAAAATGATTCTATTGAAAGAAACGCTGACTTACATTACCGAACAATTGACTGACCGTGATCGATTAGCCATTGTTTCATTTGATAATCATGCTTATGATCGATCGCACGGATTGAAGCAAATGACTGAGCAAAAGTAAATCTAATTCAGTGCACATATATTTCACTGGATGTGTTCAATTTTACTATTTAGTAAACATAGATTACATCGAGTAATTAAACACGATCTTGAAGACGGATTTAGTACGAACATCAAATGTGGATTGGAAATGGCAATTCGTCTATTTCGAAATCGGCAAGGGGAAAATCCGATCAGTGCATTATTCTTGCTCACTGATGGGCAAGATGATGAGATTCAAGATTATTCGCAAACTATGAGACAGGTACCTGCGAATGTCGTTTGCCATACTTTTGGTTATGGACCAGATCATGCTGCAGCTTTACTAGTGAAAATAGCTGAATCTGGTAATGATGGAACTTTCACCTATATTGTAAGTTTGCCCAAGAATCGACAATACAATTGTTCACTTCTTCTATTAGGATAAGTACGACGCTATTGGTCCTGCATTTGCTATTGCACTGGCTGGTCTGTTGACATGTGTAGCGCAAAATATTCGTGTTGAGATTGAATTCAACGACGGATATCAAATAACTCATGCTCATTCTATATACAAATATGAGCCTGAACGTTTACCATCGTCAAGAATTACATTCAAACTAAACAATCTCAATGCGGATGAAAAACGAAATCTCATCTTCCAATTATCTGTACCGAGTTTGAGGGGACAAACTTCGTTACAGGATCATGTCATCGGTATGTTTATCACATCGTACAAAGACAAAAAAATATGTAGTTATCTTTCGTCGCCAGGTCATGTTTCAGTCCGATACGTTGAACCAAATACCAATCGCACATTGACAACGACGCCAGCGCCCTTTCATCTAATTCGAAGATCTCCTATGTCTGCAGAATATTTACAAGTCGATCATACTTTAGATGTTCAACGCAATCGAATTGAAACTGCTCTTGTTCTACGACAGGCTATGGAAGAACACGACTACAATCTATCGAAAGCTTTACTCAAAGCACAAGTTGATAGAATAAAAGCTAGTGCATCAGCGCAAGATCCATTTTGCAGACAATTAATTCGCGATCTAGAACATCCTTACTCAACAGAAAACGACTATCGTTCGACGCATCACAATATTTACATGCAACATGCAACAGAGCGTGGGACTTATTCATCTGCAAGTAGTTCTAGTGCGCACGTCTACTCAAATCCGAACCACTTAAGCCAAATTCAAAATTACCAAAGACAAAATGAAGTATCATTTGACTTTTAAAAGAAAAGATATGTAAACAAAGACAATAAATAAACATCGAGAACTCTTTCTCTGTGCCTTTTGTTGTACATGAGTTTGTCTCCATGACTTTCAAAAATTATTGTTCAGTCAGTTAATCTTCTTGGTGAAGTGCTTTTAGTGTTGACCTGAAAAAAGGAAGATCAGTCAATTGAAAATCAAACAATTTTCCTAGATGATCAACTCAAACAGATTTGATAAGTTCCAGTTAATAACAAACCAAGAATTCTACTCTCTCCCACCATCTTACATGCAAAAACGTTTGACGTCAGCATTTCGAGCATACACCCTCACATCACAAATTGATATAATAAGCTAAAGGCAAAATACAATCTAGGGATCTCGATAACATTTGCATCATTTTTAATCCTAGAGCAACGCTCCGAAAATCATGCATAATTCATCTGACTATGTGCTATAGCTAATTGACTGCGTTTGCCCTGAAGGCATATTGCACTAGACACTAAATCAAGAACACTTATCCCTACTTTGCTCTGACGTCGTGATAATCGATTTTGGCTTTCAATTAAGTATCATAGATTATCCTACAGCTTTCCATAATTACTCTTATTTCAGCTCTTTTCAACATCATCATATCTTATCTTCTCTATTGGACAAGACATCCTCATGTCAGCATCGATCAACTACGATTTCATTCTCACACTCTCGTCAATCAAACGAAATTTATTCTCAATTGGCGGTCCAGTTTTAGTCATCTTGGGCACAATCGGCAGCATTCTAAGCTTCAGCATATTTATTCAAAAACATTTACGAAAGAATCCATGTTCAATTTACTTCATGGCATACAACATCGCAAGTATCGGCGTTATATACGGAGGATTACTTCCACCCGTACTGGAACTTGGTTATGGTATCGATTATTCTATTTACAATCTTGATATATGCCGTTTACGGCTATATGCGGCAGTTTCACTCGGTTGCATATGTCCATCGTATCTCATTCTAGCGTCAATTGATCGCGTTTTCATTACGTCGCCTAAAGTTCACATGCGAAGACTCAGTAGCCGCCGTTATGCGGCTATATTTATAATCACTGGAACATTGCTTTGGTTATTATTTTCAATTCCTATCGGCGTGTTTGCTGCTATCTTGAATCCGTTACCGAACTATTTAATTTGTCTTACGCAAGCAAATACTTATACAAATATAATTAGTTATGGATCATTGACTAAAGAAATATTGGTGCCATCAATGATGGTTTTCTTCGGTTTATGGGCAGTGAAAAATATCCATCGCATGAAACTCGTACGAGTTGCACCCACTGGCTCACTTCAGACAACCCAGCGCAAGACTGGCACACCTATGATTCAAGCAAAGGATCGTCAGCTTGTTGTTCTGATGCTTATAAATATCATTATTTATGTTCCCTTCAGTTGTGTTTTACCAGTCGTACTTCTTTATACACAACTAACAGCACGTCAGCCGAAAAGTATAGAAACACTGCAGTCGCAGGAGTTTCTCTTTCGTGTGGCAACTTATTGCGTATATGTTCCATACTGTATAAATTCTTATGCACACTTATTTATGTCGAAAACGTTCCGCAAGGAATTGAAGGATATTATCTTGAGTGGACGATTGTTTCGATGTTGTGCATAAAGTTTTATGTAGTTTATCTGCGTTATAAAAATACATCATTCTAAATGAAAAAAAAACAAATATTTGATCGAATTCAACAGAGAGACAAACAAGTTCTAAGTTGGAGTGTGAAAATGAGAGTCAACCTGTTAATACAACTGTGATCAAAACAAACTTGCACAAAATTATCTTTTTTGTGTAATTTTTTTAGGAATATATATTCGTTAGTTATGGAATCTATTCGTGGTATGAAAATATGTCTTTACTTCTTTCTTTCAAATAAATATTCGAGTATCATACGGTTAATCGTCTAATAAACTGTCAGACCTTAGTATTATGCTATATAAAAAAGGTATAAGATGGATTTCTATTGGTAGTCCTAATAATAAAGTCATTATAGTAAGTTGTGACGATCTCACTAACATGCGCTGTACGCATGTTGTTTTCTCTGCCGATAGATGCGTATATATACGTGTATTTTGTATTAGAACGACACGATTGTTGAGAGGAAGAAATACATATAAGTGCACTACCATCAGCTCATGTATCTCCTTCATCAGAAATCGTCAGAATGCTGGTTATCAATTATTTTCTCAACCATTTTGTTTTCCCACGCGAAGCAAAACAATTTCCTTATAAAATCGTTGCATCGGCATGGGATCTCTCGTTTTCGGAACGATCACAGACCATCACGGGATTCAGCGGCACAAACGACACACAATTGCTCTTACCTGAGTTAGAAAAGACCGACGCAATCGTTATCAATAATCTCTTACAAAGTGAAAACAAAAATTATTATTCTTTACCTATCAATGCCACTTCAAACGAGATATTGACACAAATTTTTGATTACAAAGAAAGCATCAATGTCATTCTAGACGTTGGTGCATTGTTTATTGATAAAAGCAATCGCGATATTGCCGTTCATTGGCTGAATTTATCGAATAAACATCGAATTGACTATGCAGTGTACTTCGATCTCGACTCGATCGTCGTCTGTGATCGACAATATCATCATCAACGATTCGAGACATCTCCGGCAAGCGAACGATTGCCTCACTGTGTCTTCTATCTCGACGAGATTCATACTCGTGGAACAGACTTGAAATTCCCTTCAGGCTTCCGTGCAGCAGTGACGCTAGGCAGCGGTTTAACAAAAGATCGATTTGTTCAAGCATGCATGAGAATGAGACAACTTGGACACGGACATTCGTTAACATTTTGGAGTTCAAACGAAGTTCATCAGCAGATAATATCATTAACTAAACATTTGTGCTCCAGCGAACAGAATTGTGTTATTGAAATTCTTCGGTGGGTGTACCAAAACACGATTCATTCGACATGGGATGGATTGCACCATTGGGCAGAACAAAGTCTGAGTTTTCAACGAAAATTAAGTGCATCTCGACAAATGCAATGGGCAATGACCCAACAACGTCCAACACCAAATATACTCATGAAAGAATTTGCTGAACAGTGCCTAGAACCGGAAATAACCAAGTTAAAAAAAATGTACGGGCACATCCAAGAAACTGCACACACTAGAGCGAATTTTCTCTGTTCGACGTCAACAGTGTGTTTCTTATCTATTGTCTGATATTCATAGTGCTGTTCTACAACGATTGCGAGAGTATGGAGGATCGAAGAAGCGTCTAGCCCAATTACTAGATGAAGAGCAACAACGAGAACTACAGCAAGAATTAGAAGAGGAAAGGCAATTAGAACGGCCGTCATCTGTAACACCAATGAAACCTATTCTTCACGAAGAAATAAAACGATTAGCTGACGTGTATGGCGCTGACTTAAACTTGAAATTATTAACAAATGTATTTCAACCGATATCATATGCTTTTTCTGATACAACTCTGCTCAAGAATTGTCAAGCAGACACGTGGCCAAAGAATTTCTGGGTTACGACTGAGTTCCAACGAGTTATTTCCAATAAAGGCAACAAAGATGATCCAGTTTTACGACCACCACGCTGGATAATTGTCTATCGAAATAAACATATTATTTTCGTCAGTCCATTCGAAACCAATTGGTTAATTAATCACTTACGCTACAATGATTCGACTAGTACTACTTTACGCATATTGTTGCCTCGTACAAAACGAATTCAATCCATACTTGTCAACATTCCAACATTAACAATTCCACCATTGATTCAGACTTCCGACCTATCTTCCTTTTCCATGTATTCTATACCAACTCAATGGTTAGCATCCTTGTTTGTGTTCAACGGTACTCATTATTTTGGATCCGACGAAGAGCAACAAGTCTATTGTCAGTGCTTAGGTTTATGTCTCATACCTCGAACTAAAGCAGAAGATGAGGCTTTCGAAAAAGGTTGGATTGCCATCGATGGATTTGTTAGTAATCCAACACACCGTCCTCTTTTACATCTCAATGCTGCCCAATTCACATCGAATCCGTTGGCATTCGTCAAACAATTACTCGAAACGCGAAATAATTCATACATACCGATAATATCACATGTTGGTAGTATTATTTTCAATACGCGAAAACTTAGCTTTTAAAGTTCCTTCATCTTAACAAAACGACACACTTTTTTGTATGTATATTCGATGATATTTAATAATAATCAAAACCTATTGAAATCTATAAGAAACAACAGTTCTGCTACACTTCGACACAATAAGCTTGTGCGCCGTACGGTACAATTTTTTATACAGAAAGGATTATTTTTTGGAAGATCGTTTCCCAGACTCCGCAACAATCGGCAATCTCCCATTTTCCCAAACAATAATCCATCCAAATCCTTGACCATTGAATATATCTTCGAATTCAATTGCTTCCGGTCTGTTTGCTACTGAATCTAAGACATACCACGAATCGTCGTGTTTTTTCGCGCACCAAACATGACCATCATCGAAGATGATCACTGATGCACAATCGTCGGAGAAGTTTTTTCTAAAAATAAATCGTAATTGCACGCAGAACAAGAAAAGACAAGCGTTCGTACTTGAGTTCAGGAGGATTGTTCGGTGGGTAGTATGAACTTGTAGCGTGGAATTTATTCAAGATGAAATTGAAGATATTATTATTAATGGAATGAATAAAGACAACATCACGGCTTCCAGTACAGCGATTTTGCTTGTCAAATTCATCGCAATATTCGAAAAATCTACAAGAACATATATATATAGGAAGTACCAGTGGAAAATGATCTTACTTTGCTTCACTAAGAATCGATTGTCCTAATGCATTGTTGATTGCATGGATTCGACAAGAATCCTTGTTTTTCTGTTTTTCAAAATAAAGCGATCGTACTGTTTTAAACTTTCTCTGATGCTTACTCATAATTCAACGCGAGAATCAACACGACGCGGCGATATTTGTTGTTTTAAGCTACTTGTTTACACGCGTATAAATAGAGAAGCGAATGCATGACGCATAAATATTTCATAATTTTCCTGCGTAATAAAACTGCATGATACACGTAGCGTAGACACTATACTTTATCATGATGAATCGTCAATAGGAAGTGACGCAAACTATTCAATGGCAAGGAATGTTTTAAAATTTAGTTAGAAAGAAAATCGAACAACTTCTCACCCCAAAGAAGTATATTCTTCCACTAGACTGTTGTCAAGATGACATTAGGAATTTATTCAACATTGAAAAACCGAAAAATCCTACCCGCATCACGTTTGATTTTTGTGCTGTTATTTTCCAACTTGTCTATAGTGTTACAACGCAAGATGATTCACTGAAAAGTAAACATAACCCGAATAAAATTCCATCATCACTCGGTGTGTAATTTCGAAAAACAAACATTCTATCCAGCGTGTACGTATTGTTGAAGGGAGAAATCCACAGTTGTGTTCTGTAAGCTTTTATGAAATTTCCAATGATCTGGAAAAAAAAAGAATCGTGAAACTGGAAATTATGTACTTATATAGGCCGTGTCATATTGGCATTGTAAGTACTCATTACTTGCATTTCTTCGATTAGGATGGCTCAATCACGCGAAAATAAAATCGACTATTTTCGGGTGAGAATTGCTGGGAAAAACAAATATTTCTATATTGCTTCTGTTTAGTCGGTGACAAATTGGTCCGATCGACTTTTTAGCTATGTGCGAATGGAATCTGTTTGTATGCGAACATTCTTTGTGATATTATTTGTATTTTATCTTTCTGTTATTCTAGTTTGCCATAGATATATACTTAATCATCGCACGTAAGCATCTTTCGCTTTAAAACGTTTCGTGAACAATTGCAATCCTGTGTATAGAAACGCCAGCGAATGAGGAGTCTGTTCCAAATGAAACAAAACCAGAAGAAAGCCTCATCGAATCGAGTCCGCGATTGTTCAATTCCATGTCTTTGGCAGACACAACAACTGGCTACCCAAACCGAACTTCATTCGTTGATTATGTTGAGCAACTTCCTCCTTCGGTTGCCAGTCGGACATCCTCAATGTTTGTTCAGCTCGACAAATTTAGCCAAGGTATATTGAAACGTAAACCTCGTATTTGTCCAAATCACACTATTCATCGTCTAGATCAAAGGAAACTTCTTCAATACGTAGATTCGAATGTTATTGGTCGAGATCGTTGGATTCAAACACCATGGGGACGACGAAAACGTCAGACAATGTACTTTCTATCATATTCCAATGTAACTGCGCTTTTGCTTTTAGTCATCTACGCTGATTACACCGCATCGGGTCGTGCTCTTCGATTTATCGAGGAATTTATTATGCAAAACGTTTTACCATAGTACGATGAACTTCACAGTTAATATTTTATCGATTCTGTTTTTCAGCTATGCGAACACGCACAGTGAAAATAATGCATGTGCTTTGCAAACAACACGATTTCGTGAAAGTGCACGAAAACTTATTAAAAAATTGGTCAATGCAATGATAGATGACGTCGCCATTTTTACCGGATCTGGTAAAGCAATTGAGATTTTGCTTTGAACGAACGGCAACAAATTGAGTTTATTTAGGATCCACAGGAGCAATCAACAAACTTGTCAGCGTTTTAAATCTGAACAATCAACAAGTTCGAGAACAGTATGTTGTTTTCGTCAGTACATTCGAGCACCATTCGAATATTCTTCCTTGGAAAGAAACCGGTGTCGAATTAATACGCATTACAAATACATCCGATGGCCTTCTTGATCAAAATATGCTTGAAGATCGATTGAAATTCTACGCACTCGATCAGAAAAAGCATATCATTTGTACATTTAATGCTGCGAGTAATGTGACCGGTATTCGAACTGATGTCGATGCCGTTTCCGCATTGGTGCATCGATATAACGGTCGGATTTTCTGGGATTACGCTGCTGCTGCGCCCTACGTGAAAATCGATATGAATCCATCAGTAGACGCTTATAAAGATGCAGTTTTCATCTCTACACATAAATTCGTCGGTGGACCAGGCACACCTGGTAAATTCTCCAGATCGTTGTTAATTCTTTCGAGTATAAGAATGAGTATTTTAGGTATTTTAATTGCAAAGAAGAGTCTGTTTCAAAATCCTGTTCCATGTAACTGTGGTGGTGGCACAGTCAACTACGTTACACGTAATGACGTTGAATACATTCACGATATCGAAGGACGAGAAGAAGGTGGAACGCCGGACATACTCGGTGCAATTCGGGCCGGATTAGTAATGCATTTAAAAGATGCAATCGGATGTGATTTGATCGAAGCACGCGAGGAGGAACTAGTTAAAAAATTCCTTCGATGTTTTAAAAAGCATCCAACATTGGTCATTCTCGGTTCAACAACCGTTCCTCGGCTAGCAATCTTCTCATTCTTGATCTATGTCAAATCTAGCGACAAATATTTACATCATCATTTTGTCTGTGTTCTACTAAATGATTTATTTGGTATTCAAGTACGATCAGGATGCTTGTGTGCAGGTCCTTACGTTCTAGTATGATGACTCAATGATTATAATGAAAGTTGTATGTTTCTTATCGTTAAGGATCTACTTAACATTGATGATCACACGGCTACGATTTATTCAGACTTCATTACTCAAGATGCAAAGTATATAATAGGACAGAAGTTGATCTGTGAACGTATTTGTTTTGTTTTTGCAGCGGACGATTTGATTTCAAAGAACAGAATGCTCTGATGAAACCCGGTTTTACCCGATTTAATTTATCATACTTTGCTAGTGACAAAGAAGTCGATTATATCCTCGATGCGTTGGATTTTATTGCGACTGATGGTTGGAAATTCTTACCATTGGTAAATTGTTACACTTGATTTTTTTCTCAATGAATATGTACATTGAATTTGTATTTTGAAGTACACGTATGATCTCACAACTGCTAGTTGGCATCTTCGTGATCACAAACACAACGTTCATGATTTTGCTCAATTCCATAGTCTTAGAATGATAACCTATGAGAACGGTACGTTGGAGGAAGATTTTTCTCAACGCAACCTTCAACTAACGGTAAAAAGAAAATATCTAGACTCTATTTAATTTTCTTGCAATTAAATCATTGTAGAATACCAATGTTCTTCCTCAATTGGTCGTCACTTCGTCATCGGATGACCCATTGGAGCAAGCGAAAGCAATAACTCTGAATATTGCCAACTACGTTTACGAAAATGTTGATTTTCGTATAGATCCACCATTGAATGTTCCCGATGAATATCGTCGCTACATCTGGTTCGTGCAACCGAGAGATATTATCTTGAAGATGTTGATAGATCACGAAAAACAACGTGAGCATGCAACAGTGCCGTTTCGTCCTTAATCGACATATTCATAATTACATTTTATTCTTTTTCCTTTATTCAACGAATAAAATCTCCGGTCGATATTGTGTTACTTTTTCTTTCTCAGTACCGAATGATAAGAACGAAAGAGAACGAACGATGTGTACCCTCACTTATTTCACAAAGTCCATGCGTGATCACAGCGATTAAAATTGCTGCGTCATGCTTGCATAGAATAGTGTGTGTGAACCATTCATATTCATACAGATATTCTCTTTCTCCATCATCATGACGTAGATGTTTCGTTCCGATGTATAAATACGCAGTTGGACTAGACTAACGATCATTTCTTTGGTGAGTACACGAATAAAACATGACGATTGAGAATAGCAGCAACAACACGCGCGATGTGAACACTACTTTGACTTATAATAGAGCATTGTCTTCCAATGGTGCATCTGAACATTGGTTTATCAATATCAATGCGTCGAGTGATGGAAAGCGTGTTCAAAATTTTGAAGACGACGTCATCGAAACCACTATACACGACATACGAGGTCGCGAATCAGAAACACACATCGACGTGACCGGTTTCCAAGCTATTCATTCACCAAGTACTGTCGATCCTGATCTTATTCTCGATGGAACTGACGAGCAAGTGAAGGAGATATATTACGGCGAAGTTGAACAATTAATTAAACGTGTTACAGGTGCTGATCATGTCGTTTTCTTCGACCATACCATACGTCGAGTGAGACCAAATCAAGTAGATAATTCTCCAACCGTTCGTCAACCCGTACAGCGAGCACACGTTGATCAAACACCGATTAGTGCACATACACGTGTGCAACGACATGCACCAAACATCCAGTGGAAACGCTTCCAGCTAATCAATGTATGGCGACCGTTGAAGAATCCTGTATATGATTATCCACTTGCTGTAGCCGATTGCCGTACTGTTGATGTAATCAATGACCTTGTACCGACAACACTTGTCTATCCACCACCATTACCGAATGGAGAAACGTACTCCGTGGTTCATAATCCTAACCATCGATGGTATTACTGGTCGAAGATGACACCGGATGAAGTATTGTTTTTAAAATGCTATGATAGTGCTAGTCGAGCTTTGTCAACGGTGAAACAAAGTGCTGCACAAGTCGACGAGACACTTCTACGTGACGTGGCTGGTTTGACACCACACACAGCTTTCTATGACGCTCAAGGTGCGCAAGAAGGGCCAAGTAGAAATTCAATTGAAGTACGAGCTCTCGTTTTTTATAATTAACTTTTGTAACATTGTACTTAATAAAATATCAAAACAAGAAAAAACATAGTTTTATTTTCATATGTAAGAATTCGTCGTGTCTTCAATCTTGATAATCGGATTCCTTGGCGCGTTAACATAGACGAACCGTTTGATAACAGGGCGTCTTCGTCGTCGCTGCGCGAGTCGAGTACGTCGTATTCGTTCTCGTTCTTCACGAACAGGATCAACGCCAAATCCATATCGCAAAATGTCCATTATAATTACAAATGCTGCAACACATCCTAGAGCGATAACCACAATGTATGCAAATGATTTCGATACAATTTTAAATATAACGATCTTCTTTGAAGTAATTTCACAATGACGGCCTGAGTAACTATTACTCAAACATTCACATTTATAACCTCGTAGTAATGGTCGGCATACTCCGTTATTTGAACATGTAATATTATGACAATGGTTCGTCATCGATTCACAATGAACGCCTTGCCATCCGTCATCACATTCACAGTGAAATGTTGTATCTGATGTCTGATTACATTTACCTAACAAACAACAAAAACAGTCATCTATGTCGATGAAATGTAAATAGAGAAATAGATTACCATGATATAAACAAGTGTATGGTTTGCAAGGCCGACGATCGATCTCACAAGTTGTACCATTGAAACCGATCGGACAAGAACAGTCGTAACCGTGATGTTTTGTTGTGCTGATATTGCAAGTACCATTGTTTTGACATGGATTCGATATGTTACAGATATGATTAGGAATACTACAGTTAGAGCCAATGTATGTCGAGTCATTACAAGGGAATGCGATGAAAATAAACGACGATTCAGTATCTACACGATAGTAAAAACTAATTTGAATTTAAAATCAAAACGAAGATTACTTGTTACTAAAAGTGTTTCCAACGTAGTGATTATATCAGTAGTCGTGTTAGTACGATAAGAATGTTCATGACAAGAGTTCGTAGCTAGCGTAAACTTTTGAAGACGCGCATTGTCTAGATCAACGACAAATAAGTTACCGTAACTGTCGAAACTCATTGTTATTGGCCCGTTTAATTCGTTTGGTTTGGAACCACTTTTACCCGAGCATCCTACTAAACATCGAAAACCATTTGGTCCACTACCAATAATGCGAGCATTACCAGAGTCCACAACGAATAAATATCCATCGAAGTCTACAATGACTCCTGAGGGCTTATTCAGTGTAGTTTCTTCAATAGTTTCATCGCCTAGAACAGTCTGACCGGTTTTATTTCCTCTATGAAAACATTGAATTCTATGATTTTCGGAGTCGGCCACATACAGATTGAGCTTAGTATCGACAAATATTCCTCGCGGATGTGTGAGTCTATCCGAAGTAAATCCAGGAGAACCATTGCCTGCTGCCATCGTCCAATTAACAGTGCTCTTGTACAATGAGTTTCTAATTACTTGATGCTTCGACTGAATAGAACAATAGATGTTATCGTTCACATCGATGAAAAGTCCAAAACAAGAGTCATTGTACTGCGACAATGGAATGCTATATGTTCCACTCCGTGTCCATAATTCAATACGATTCTTCTTACCATTGTCCACAACTATGTCAAAATTAGTCGTTACAAAGACACTGAATGGCTGATTCAATTCACCACGATTCAATATCGTTGACATCGAACTTTCATTTGTCCATAATTCTACCCAATTCTTTACAATGTTAGTCACGTAAATACTATTATTGTTAGTAACAAAAATTGCAAAAGACCCATTATGGCCAATCATCAAAGTTGTAGCGTTTTCGGTCCAAGACATCGATGGACAAACCTTCGGTTGATTATAGAGCGGCACTATAAATTAAAAAATTTATAAGCATAGCTAGAAAGTATAGTTGACCACTGTACTCACTACAAGAGTTGGATTGTATAAGAAATTTTTGAATCCGATGGTTCCCTAGATCAGTAACAAACATATTACCGTCACTGTCAAACGCTAAGGTCTGTGGGTGGTCCAATTGAAACGAACTTGAACCTGCCGCACCATAACATCCCACTAAACATCGAAATCCATACGGCCCTGAACCAACTATTCGATGGTTACCTTCGTCGACTACGTATAAATATCCGTTTGCATCCAATAGGACTCCAGTTGGCCAACGGAGTTCAATAGTGTCCTTTGCTTCTTTTCCAGCCACTGTCACACCAGTTTTATTGCCATCTGTAAACAGTTGAACTCGGTCGTTACCGCAGTCAGCTACATAGAGATCAAGCTTATTATTAACGAAAATTCCACGAGGCCAGTGCAACATTTCAGCGCTTGATCCTAGTTGTCCAGTGCCCGCCACGACGATTGATACATTGGCCCCAGTGGTAAGCGATTGTCTTATTACTTGATGTTTCTCACGGACAGTAAAATACAGGTTTTTTACAATATCAACGAATAAACCAAAGCAGGGTTCATTAACATTGGATAGTAAAATATTACTTTCTTCATTCCTTGACCAAACCCTCACTGTATTGTTTACACCATTCTCAATATAAATATCTCCATTAGCCATGACGAAGAGACTCATTGGATTAAATGAGTGTTTGAATTTGATTTCCGATGGGTCGTTGCTACTGTTAAACCATACAATCACTTCATGTTTTTCCTGTCCAGCAACATAGATAGTGTTGTTTTGATCGATAAAGATTCCACGAGGCGATGCACCAACTATTTCCTTGCTAGCTAAAGTAATAGCTGCAGGATTCCAAGATGGAAACAAGCAGAATTTCGGCTGATTAAACGAAATACCTGTAACAAAAAATTCTTGGTGATTTTATACGTTGAAGGAGAAACAATGAAGCTAAACACTTTCAACATACTTTGCTCACTAGATTCTTGTGAAACGACTGATGGCAAATTGATCATTAATGTGAAAAGTAGCCATATGAGAAGAAGACTTTTTAGTAACATGTCCTACTAATGGCAATCAAGAGATTGAAATGAACGTTGCAGACAAATCAAAAGCGTTTTTTCTTGTTATTTGACAGCAAATATCTGTCCGAATATTTGATTATATTTAATTACACCAGAACGTGAGATCGCTGCGTGATTATTTATTGAATCGATAATGGACACAATACATCTGCAGATATAGAGCAAATCAAGATTTGTAGAACAAGTGAGAAAATGCTCGGCATCTCTCTCACTCTAGACGTCAAAATATTCTAGATAGATTACTTTCATTGTTGTTTTGCCGACGCCAGACTGAATTTTTTCTCATCACCATGAATTATACGTTCTTGTAAAATAAACACCAATCTAACATATAAACCCAACTAAAATCTCTACCTAGATCAATTTGCTGAATTTCTAAGAGATTATACTAATTGAAAGCATTGTTTATTCTCGTGCAATTCGACCTATTTCCCCACTGACTGTATTCTTTTTTTGTGAGATCAGTTAAAACTTATTTATTGAAGGAATCTACATTGTGACAATACGCGTTTGAGTGTTAACAAGCTTTTATTGGTATTTGTTCGAAGTGACACCAACAGTTCCACTCTTTTTATTTACATTCGACTTCTTATAATGTTATGTAAAAGTTGTTTGTAAATGATGACGCCACATAGGAAATTAGGACACCTATTGAATACGGAATCAATCATTCGTTATGGAGCCGAGCACAGAAGTTTGAGTCGATTGATGAGATTCTGCAGTTCTTTCCGGTATAAATTCGCTGTTAACGTAAAGACATAAAAATTGATCTAAAGACAACAATTTACGTAAGTATATTGAATAAATCGATCGCAGATCTCAAACTTACCGCTTGACTAAGATTGAGTGTAATATAAGTTATTTGATAAACAAATAGAAATACCTTATCTGTAAGAAGTGCCGGTTGAATAGCTGCTGCTATTAGTGAAAGATGATATGGTAAAGCAAGAAAGGCATAACATACAACATGTATGAATAACATGAGTAACAATTGACTATCGCCTCGGGCACGTCGTTTTTCTCTCGTTGTCGGATTAGTTACCGTGCTGATCATCGGTTGAATCCGTTGAGTTTGAATTCGGATATTATAGCTGGTGCCTAGTCCAAATATAAGAACTATGAATATAGCGATAAAATAATACCCTGTTGTGAAAAAGGGAAAGAAATTCTGATAAAAGCCAGATTCTGATTGACATCTGAGATTTTCAATGTTGAATCGAACAACGATGTGCATGTAAGCTAAAGCCGTGATGAAAATGATAATAGGTATTACTATATAAGCGATTCGAGCTCGAGAGCTTAAACGACGTAGTTTAGGATGGACTGAACTGGAACAAAATCGATCGATTGTGGCGCAAGCTGTGAAATATGGAGCCAAATTAAAAATGACATAAAGCATAAACGTTCGAAAACGGCAGTATTCAAGGCTGACGCCAGTTGCGTATAAAACAGGAAATATCTGTGTCAACCATTGAAGAAACGTACCGAACAGGAGAATTATAAGACCGTTGATTGATCCAGCAAGGAAATATATTGAACACGAACGATGAAGTGCTGGACGAGTAAATATATAAACACTCAGAAGATTACCAACAACACCAAACACAACTATTATTGGTAAGATATATAAATTCAAGTAATAAGATAGAACTGATAACTGCATTCTTATTCTGCACTAAATAAACTCGGATCTGCAAGATAAGATACAAACTCATATGTTCCTTTCACATAGAGCACAAAAAAAGTACAAAATTTATAAGAGGCCTCCTTAAATTCAGAATGATGAGTGGCAAGGGTGAGGAGAAGTTAATTGTGGCTCAGTCGACTTTCTAACACAAAGAATCGGTACCCTTTCATTATTATGGAACATCATTTACAGAGTGCGATCCTTCATGTAAGATCGATTATACTCAAAGTTTTTCATCTTGCATAAAACTTCAAATAGAAATATTATCTCTATATGACAAAACGTGCAACTATCAATTTAATTTGCACCGTAACGATGATGATTATACGCGTTCTTTTTGTCGAATAAGCGATGAAGACCCCTAATTAATCTACGATTCGATATGTAGTCATCGAGTTCATAATGTCACTGCGTTTAAATCTCGTTTTTTTTTCATATAAACCGAATTTATCGAGAATAGATAGTAAGTTAATCCGATAGTTTTGGTACTCGACAAATTTCTACAAAATTTATTAGACATCAGTTCAAATGATTTATCTCATAATCTACAATGGCTTCAGGCGATAATAAACTGTCAAACGATATACGATCACATAATATAGAACGAAATGATCAGTACATTTAACTTCATATTTATCGGTTGCATATTTCAATCGTTATTTGGAATGTGTGTTATGAAAAAAATGTTAAGTAGGATACTTGTATCTTTATTGGAGAGAAAAATATCTCACTTCTGATGATAAAAAAAAAGAAAACTTAAGTAATACACAAAGGAACATATTTAAACACAATGCCGAACTAATAGAGAGAAACGAAGGCGGCAGAATTTCAAACCGATTTCATAAATGATCCAAATTCTTGTTTGTCAATTCGTCCATCGTGATTAACATCGGCATAGTCAAACATAGCTCCAGCTGGATCATAATGATTGCTTTTTCTGGCGACGTTTGGTGCTCCAATACCAACATCAGGTCCAAGACCATATTTGTGTTGTTCACTTCCAGCTGCACCTGCTGTAAATTTTTCATATTGAATTGGATCTTGTGGTGCAAAGCCAGCTACAGCTACATCAAGACCAACTGGATATGTGATGGTTTCAGTTGCATGTCCTGAATGCGCCTATATCGAAATAAGTTCGATTCAAATTCCAAACGCAATGAAAAAGTAACTTACAGCAAAACTTTGAAGGTCTTGAGCTGATCCCGATAATCTTCTCTCGTCTTTAACGGGACCAAGAAATTGTCGAAATTCTCGTTCATCGATTCCACCATCATGGTTGATATCGGCTTGATTGAATTCATTGTCAAATCTTTGTGGGTTGCTCATTGTGAAGTTTTGTATAAAATGTATATACTATCGAATGAAGGAAATTTCTCAGAAATAAATACTCCGTCAATGACGCACATGCAATCAACCATGCAAAACATATCATCATTAATATCTCACTATCATTTTCTTTACTATATGCCTAAATATGATTTTTATCGGCTATCAAGGTTGTTTTTCTCATATCGACATGTTTTTTCTCCCTAAAATTGTGTTTCTTTTTATAGCTTCACTCATTAAGGTTATACTCAAAAATACCGTCAGTAGTTCAACTATCAGTTCGATGTGTTTTATAGAACAATCAACAAAAATCAACATGCACTTTCCATTCATTTGCACCAACTTCTGTATCAACGATTGAAAGAATTCGATTCGAACACAAATCAGCAATGCTCTTTTATTCTACCATCATTGTTGATATATTTTATAGAAGAAATTTTCTCGTACAAGAACTCAGCAATAGAATTTTCAAATGTACTACATGACCTATATTTTTTTCAACGCTGAAATAGCCGTTTATTTCTGCACTTTACTTATCTCACGTGTCGTCTCACATTACACTGACAATGACTATAAATGTTCATCCGTTAAAGATTAGTGTCGATAGAGGTGACGCGCACACAAATGATCGTGACAGTTGATTTAGAATCGAATTCATTTGCTTATCTTCATGGTGAATGGAGAACAAACTGTAAAATCCTCGTAAGTCAATTATATCTTTTTGCGAAGGTAATGTCTATGTAGATCCGATGTGAATACAACACCTGTCTCGAACAAAGATCTTCTTGTCGTACACGATGAATAGAATAATATGTATTGTTTTGTTTATCGTTAAGTTTAGTCGTTCGACGAGAATTATTTCACATGGTGTACGTTAATAGTGAGGCCAATCAAGTACGAACTTTCATGAAATATACAACAGAAAAGTTACCTGCTCGTTGTGCAATATCTTCAACAGAAATAGATATATGTATTGCATTCGTCCTTGTCGGCGTCATTATTTTCACATAATGTTTTGTTTCGCTTCTGTTGAAGTAAAGATTAACTAGATAGTGATTCGTAGTAAACAAAATCAAAGTGCTTTATTGATTGAATCGTTGTGTTTTATTGGTATTTAGTTGTTATCTTTTTACAAAACAATTGTTTAAAGGGCTTCGCATTGTGAATTGTAGAAAAAGAGACAATAGTCGAAATATGACTATGGTAATATATAAAATCCTAAGACACGAACAGTAAGTGAATCAGTCACGAAAATAATATAAGGCGATTGGTTAAATTGACATCCAATATCGAAATGAAATGTAATTCAATGTCACTTTCTGATCAACAAGTGATTTGATGAGTTCATCAGGACTCTTAAATGCAATATCAACATAGTGTTTGTGTGTTCGTTAGTCAATAATCATGTTGTGAACAAATATCAAATGATCAGCAAGTTCACTGCAATGCTGATTATGTATTCGTAGGTATACAAATAATATTCAAGAGGCAACTAATGATGAAACTTCTATTGACTTCAGATGATTGAGAGACAGATTAAGATATATATCCAAACGTCGTATAATTACTCATTTGGAGAAACGAGGTGTTGTATAGGATGATTGCTATGATGTACGTCTTTGATTCGCTATACCTGTTCCATTCTTTGGTTATTACGTATGTGAAAAGACTCGTTTATTTCTGAAATAACCAGAGATATATACGCCAACGCCTGTATCGCTCGATGGAACAGCACGTTTTCGCTGGCTGATACTTTTGCTAACGCAAAGAAACTAATAAAAAAAAAGAATCTTTTAGACATCCTTGAGCGACAGCCACACTGTATTGTAGTGATCCATTTTGCAACAAGACTTATTTCCAGAAGATCACATCTGTTAGGCAATTTATGCTCTTATGCACAATGAAAATTGATTCTAGTTATTCGACGAAGAGCGATTGAACTTATTGAAGACAAACGTAAACATATAAATTAGGAGGACTGACTAACGACTATAAGCAACAAGTTTTCGAATCGATATGGATCAGTTGAGGTATATCGTTGTCGACTTTTGTTGTTATATTGTATAACACACAAAGAGATTCGGTATCTTTAGAAATCAAACAAAGAATTTGAAGTGAGAACAACCAATGGAATACGACCTTTGCTAAACTTCATTGCCAAGTTCAATTACAACGGCATTTCGAACAACGCAGCATTGAATTATAAGCACTATTCATCACAAGTGACTCTTCTCGGTCGTTCACTAGAGAATCTATATTTTGAATAATTTTGTTGAGAAGAATGACCTTGACAAATAGAAATACATATATTCTACCGAATAACAGATTCTACCAATATTATTAGAATTATTCCTAACTAAAAACACGTTATGGGCAACTATGATGTGTTTTTCTTTTTCTCAATCTACTCGTCAGATGTCTCTCAAAGTCATAGCTAGTTCTTTCTATATTTAACTGCACTGGCATTCTCCTCTAGCACTTCCCTTTCACAGTAAATCGAGAGATTCATTTCACCAATCGAAAACAATTTTCTAGTGTTTTCATTAGAAGAATACAAGTATATGTTTGGAACAATATAAACGACGTTCATGATGAATTATTTCATTAGAACTAGGTATTTAGAATTATGCCTCTGTAGAGAAGACAAATACAGTCGTCTTATTACGTGTAACATGTACGTATATAGTTATATAGTAGACACTGAATGCGTCATTCTCTTTTTATTTTACAAAAAGTACGAAACAATACACTTCTAGAAGAAAGTAACTCTACAATCGATGAATTGAGTCATCTATTCGATCAGTAGAGATAGAAATCGCTCGATAGATCGCCGAGCATTTCGAAATATTGATCCATTCTCGATTGTTCTTTCCAATACAACGACAATTTAATAAACAATCATCAAAATTTAACTGTCATGCTTTGATATTTTCCTTCGTATATAGCTTTGTTTCATGCAATCAACAACATTGTTCTATTATAATTTTGTCTCTCTTAGAAAAACGTCAATACTTCTCACATGGAGAAAATAAACGCAACGAACCGCATTAAATAAATACGAGTATAAAATCACTACCAAACTTTGTATACATTGCGGTTACACATTTCGAATATGGCTGGTTTAGCAAAAACATTCAATGGTCGTGTTTTGAATAAATCAGATGAGAAAATCAATCTGACGGATCGAAAATATCAAGGCAAAATCTTTGGTCTGTACTTTGGTGCTTCTTGGTAGATGAAACAAGTTTTTCTTCATCGAATCCGATTATTAGCGTGTTTTTTTGTTTTGTCTTATAGGTGTCAACCTTGTCGCGCATTTAGTTCATTTCTGAGTGAAATTTATGATGAATTTCACAAAGAAAAACGATTTCAAATCATTTACGTCAGTGCAGATGCTGATGAACAATCATACAAGCAATATTGTAAGACAATGCCTTGGTTAGCCGTGGATTTTAGAGATCAAAAGCTACGAGATGATCTAGCTATGAAATATAGTGTAACCGATGTCCCGAAGTTGGTTTTACTCGATGGCGATACAGGCAAAACTCTTTGTACAAACGCAAAAGAACAAATTCTGTATTTGGATACAGAAGGTGTCAATTTTCCATGGAGATCATCCTAAAATAAAAAGCCTTTTTTTGTTGTTTCACGACCATAATAAACAAAATTCGAGTGTTTTCATGAGATATTTATGAGTTTAGGGATCATATTTGCAAAAACCTTCTTCAATAAGAGGCACGGATTGATTAAAGGAATAATGAGTAGACTACATATATGTCTCGTCACCGAAATTACAATAATATTAGTGATATACTCTTTTAGTTGATCTACTCTTGCTGAGGATCAGGGTTTGGGTAGACTAGAAGATTTGTATGAGATGTGAATATTGGTGTGTTGGTTTATATTAATTCAAATGCTCCTATAGGAAGGTGAATATGTGATCGTAAGCCCGCGGTTCTTTGTTTTTGATGGAAATAAATCATTGTAATTATTAGAGTTGATTTATTTGTTGAGATAGTTTATTATGATACTTAACAAGCCTAAATGATCTTTATGATCACCCACTCACATACATCAAACTACGGACTATAAATAGTAGATTACATGGATATTTCTATAGATTAGATCATCGGAAAATGCGTGTGTTAAATCTTTCACTAGGAAAAGATCAAACGAACATGCCAAAATTATAAGATAGAACGAAAGAAAGAATAAGGAAACACATTGCATAATTCCTTATGGAAGAAATATTCCATAACACTTTCTTTATTTCGGCGTTGCCTTTTCTCACACTTTTCACTTTACTCGGATAAAACAATCGAGAGAATACAAGCGATCTACAAAAGAAAACGAACACATTTTTTCATTTCGCTTTCGCTCAGTAGAATGTAAGTATATATTTCGTCTTTCCTCATCAAAAATAGAAAGTTTCGATTATAAAGCTATTGATTTCAACACAGACACATACTGAACACCTACCCATCTTGATCAAATGAAATAGACGCACTGTTTCTCAGTAGTTTTCTCACACATGTATGCGAAAGAAACAAATCATATTCTTCATTAGAAGCGTCTATTACCGTTTAGTAACCAACCAAATGTGCATTGAAATACATACTTAATTGCGAATTCAACATTCGATCTGTGAGTATCTATGGTTTCTCTCAATGTGTCAAATAAGAGCAGTTGTATGCTGCATACATCTTAAGTAAACAGAATATTTTGGCCTCGAATTAGAACACAATTACTTTGTAGTCAATCAAAAAGCTGTCGCGTATTGATTACTTAATCATTCCTTGTAACACTTACTTCGCAATTGTATTTTTTCGATGACTTTTCTTTGATAGTAAAAAGCAACTAATCGCGACATTGCTTCATTACAAAGGTTGTTTTTGCCACGAATTTTCATTCTGTTTGAAATAGAGTGAATAATATCTCATACACTTTTTAGGTTTGAGGCGGTGCTTTTTTTCAAAACTGTGGAAAGCGTGTTGATAAGAAAGGCCGTCTCTGCCTCTTACATACCTCCTCCCCTGTCTCCTGTCTGTGTAAACACAAAAATTCGTCTGTAAAAAGCCTTGCAAGTCGATCTTTTTATTCAGTATAATTAACATAATGTATGTCGAATACTTCTTGTCTTCGTGGATATTACAACTTTGCTTTATCCATAGCACACATTTTCGTGGTGGAACAATTACATGGTAAACTCAAATGAAATATCTTATTTCTTTCGAGTTCATCTCTCTTTTATAGGCGACCTTTGAATGCAACTCCGTCTGGTGGTTCAGCTTCTTTTCTAGTTCGAGAACGATATTCATGGAATCGTAATACATACTATTGTGATGGTACAACTATTGCCAATAACGGTCTAATAAGTGGTGGCAACAATGTTGCTTGCACAGCAGGTCCCTGCACCGGTTGGTCTAACATGCTGACATCCACGTATTGCACGGATTTCAGTGCTGCTCTTACTGTTAGTTCGGGTGAAAGAACTCAAGTGTATACATTCCCACTGAATATTTCATTCACGATTTATTTTTATGGCACTAATTGGTTTGATGGCCTTGAAGTAGGTAACAGTACAAGTTGGTATGTGTCGAATCGTATCATTACAAATGTCAGACCAGATGGTTATCTTAATACCAGCCCTATTGGTGTCACAATTCCTATCATCTACAAGCCAATCAACATACAACAGGTGCATGTTGTTCAAATGGCTGACTTCGATCCAACTGATATCTTAAGATGTCGATGGTCCACTAATATATCTGCCAATAATACATGTCAATATAATGAATGTGGAGGAATCTGTAGCGGTGTTCCTGGTGCTGTACTTCTTCAGAACAACTGTACTATCGTATTTACACTAACACATGCTAAACTATACGCAGGGGTGGCACTACAAATTGAAGATTTCTTCAACAATGCAACATTGGTAGCTAATACACCAATGAGTTCTGTTCCACTTCAGTTTCTCTTCTATGGCTATTCTGTAACAGGTAATTGTACAAAACCGCCACAAATCATTGGTAATCGACCCAACCGAGGTAAGCTNGTACGACAGAATCGACCACACCAGATTCTACCAGTGGTACGAACGAACCTGGGACGGCCGTTACCGATTCGTCTGAATCAACAGGCTCCACCAATGCCACGAACGAATCCAGCACACCTGATTCTAGCAATAGTACGACAGAATCGACCACACCAGATTCGATCAGTGCTATAATTGACTCGAGCACGGCCGTAATGGATTCGTCTGGATCAACAGACTCTACCAATGCGACGACAGAATCGACCACACTAGATTCTACCAGTGCTATAATTGACTCTAGCACCAGTACGACAGAATCGGCCACACCAGATTCTACCAGTGGTACGAACGAATCTGGGACGGCCGTTACCGATTCGTCTGTATCGACAGAATCTACCAATGCGACGAAAGAATCCAGCACACCTGATTCTAGCACCAGTACGACACAATCGAGCGCACCAGAGTCTACCAGTGCCACGACTGATTCCAGCACACCGGATTTTTCCAATGCTACAATTGAGTCGAGCACGAGCGTAACCGATTTGTCGAGATCAACAGACTTCACCAATACTACGAAGGAATCCGGCACACCAGACTCTAGTACTACTACGACACAATCCGGCACATCTGATTCTGCTAATGCTACAATTGACTCGGGAACGACCATGGCTGATTCGCCTGTATCAACAAGCTCGAGTGGTGCTACGAAAGAATCGTCCATACCAGATGCTACTGATGATAGAATTGAGTCGAGCACGACTACTATCGGTTCATCTGTATCAGCAAACTCTGCTGCTACGACGAGTGAAGGGACCATGATGAATATTACGAAGGAATTTAGCAGAACAGCAGAGTCTACTGTAGGAGCTGATAAATCTACTGGGGTGACTGGAATGTTGACTACTGCTGTTGGCGAAACCAGTGGGGGGATAACTGGAATGGATTTTGTGACAATTACATCTAGTACATTAAGCGCCACGTTTGGAGGTAACACGAGTGTAGGCGGGGAAAATAGTAGTTATCATGAGCACGCTAATAATGGGAGCGATACAGGTAAAAGTATTACGGCAACAACTGCAATGGTGTCTGCGAGTACAGGTAGTCTGCAAACCACTAGCATTACGTATCATACTACAACTACTGGAATGGCGGTCACTAGTGGAAATGGTCAGTCGACGACTACTAGCACGACGCAACGAAGTACTACAACCACGGCAGGTTAGTGGCTATAGAGTTCTGTTTTTGTTTTTGACAGAGAAGGGAGTGTTGAGACTTATGAGCTAGCTTTAGAAAGACTTTTGATAAGTTTACTGCCGGAATTTTGGGATTGAAGACGAGTTGAACTAGTATTTCCGTGAAGTGAAATAGGAGGGCGCAATAGTTTTTAGATATTTAATGTGGTATGACGGTGTGTCGTGGCGTTTAGCGGTGATATCGAATGTATGAAAGTTGGGGTAGGAAATAGAATTATAGAGTGGGGCAATTGCAGCCTCAATATTTATGAGGTGGAACAGTATGTGAAAGAGAAAGACAACGTTTGAGATCGTGGTGCGTGCGCCGTAGAGATGGTCCTAGCAGGTAGTTTGTAGCTTGAAAATGAATTGTTTGAAAAGATAGAAATTCTTGGTGCAGTGGTGCATCTTGATAAGACGGTAGTCGTTAGGAACCAAAGTTTGATTGTAGTTGTTGTGTAGTTTATATTCTTCGCGTTACAATAAATCAGGCAGATATGCCGTATAATAGGAAAGCACTTCGGAAAGCGTTTTCGCTCTTGCTAGTCTTCCCGATCTTGCCGTTGAGGATTATGGAATAAGCTACAGATTTTGATTTGCGTCTGTTGTAGAAATTCTCAGAATAGTTTGAGTTCAGGTGTATTCATTGCTGATGATTGGATAAATTTCTCTGCAGTAAATTGTTTCCGATGCACTAGTATGAGTAATACTCCTAATTATTTCCTCGAAAATGATTGGATGATAAAGAAAAACTCTTTATTTTGGACAGTGTGTCTGTTGAGCAGTATCGAGAACGGTGGCTTTGAAAATGGTAGTTCTGTTGGGTGGACTGTCGGTGGTGGGAACCGATCTTCGGTACTATCATCTCAAATTCAGCCAGAGGACTATCTACCGAATGGCGCGCGATACGAAGAATTAATTGCTCTTAGCAGTTCCTCAATTGTCACACAGGGCAACGATCCGCTCGTAAAAGAACTCCTACCCTGCATTGTTTACACTGGTACTTACGCATGGCGTGTCGGTGATATGGCGAAAGGTACTCGCGTAGCCGTAATTAGTCGACAAGTCGATAACTATTATTGTTCGGATATCTACTTTGCATGGTTAGCGTATTTAGAAGTCGGAGATCATCCCCAAAACGAATCCAGCGTTATAATAATCGAACTGAAAGATATAAGTAACAATGAAACCTTACTTTCACGACGATTCGATTCTGCAGTGAATTCAACGAGTGACTACAAGCTTATTGCTTATAGGGATAACACTATTTATACACCCGTTTGGCAAGTTGAACGTGTATCTATCAACCAATCTTATCAAGGTCACAATTTTACCTTGACAGTACTTGCTGCAAATTGTCGCGAACAATTTCATTCAAGTTACGTCTATATTGACAGTTTTGGTAGCGTCAAGCCAAGTCAAGTCATTATTACTCATAGATGAAAATAATGTTCTAGAAACTGCGTATTGTTTTGGGAATCACTTGATTTTGACGACGTCAAGTTTCATGCTTAACTTGCAGTTCTTTTTGTTGTTGTTTTTTCAGTTTGAAATTCTTCAATAAAGTAGAACGTGAATATTTCATTTCAACAGAATCCTTATAATAACACTTTTAAGTAAAGATCGCTGACGATAAAGCCAGGACAGATTTGTTCGGAATGTTCTCTATGTTTTAGAAAAATATGTCATTTTATGGATTGTCTTTGACATGTTGTTGTATGACCAGAATAGGTCTTCGAAAGAAATAATTATTAATGCAATAACACTTCGCCTTAGATGTCAAACGTGCCACATGCATCGTATCTGAAAAGCAAACCAGACGTCGTGTAAGATGATCATGAGGTATACTCATAGGCAGCTTGGATCAACGAAACTTAGCGTGAAAATTATAGAAATAAATCGATGAATTGATTTCTATGTGTATATTATTCATCTTATTCCCTTGTCACTAAAGAAAAAAATTTGCCTCTTCTCTAATGAGACTTGTTTTCCATATAGCATACAAACAGCTTCATAAAACAGCCCGAATATGAGAGATTATCAAGAGAGAATATTCAAAATAAGAATAGTGCCGATACGTTTATTAATATAACTTGCTGAATTATCGATCTTCAATCTAGGCACATGTAACCCACCCTGTCAAAACAATGGAACTTGTACAATATATCACAACTGTACGTGTGCATTTGGTTTCACTGGTCAAACATGTAACATTCGTAAGTATTCAAGATGAATGTTATGTACATACTTTATGCTTCTCTTTGCTAGAATCTGCTAATCTTTGCTCTGCAAATAATACATTCAATAGCACTCCTATTATATTAGTTACATTTGGTTCTGGTCGCAAGCAATATTCTTCCGCTAGCCCTGCTAGTTTTAATTTTTCCACCACTTATATGCAAGTTTCTTCTGGTAGCGCACCAAACAATGGCTATTTTGCTTTCGTCAATTCTGTTCCTAATGATTTCAGTACGTGGCATATCGGTGCTCTTGATCACACAGAAGATACCAAAGGGTACATGTTTCTAGTAAACGCGGCTATCGAAGCCGGCCAATTCTACAATAGTACAACCAATCACCTATGTATTAATAAACGCTATGAATTTTCAGTTTACTTAGCCAATCTTTGCAAACAAGGTTGCGCAATAATGCCAAACGTTCGCTTTGAAGTTCGAAGCGCATCATCTAACCATACATTACTTGCACAACTAGATTCAGGAGCCATACCAATGAATCAAAACACTTTAGATTGGAAGAAGTATGGTCTTTCATTTATAGCGCCGACCAATTCCGTTACTCTATTAATGATATCGAACGCTGGAGGTGGCGATGGAAATGACCTAGTCATTGACGATATCGCATTGCGTGTTTGTGCAGCACAAGGCGCTGGTTTTTGCTGACCTTGAAACAATCCAAATGCTTTATCTTTTAATTAAAGTCATCAAATGACAATTTTTGCTTCAATAATTGGGAATCGATACATATAATCGCTTGATTTTAATTTCGAATAAACATTAGGTATGTGATAGACAACATGTCTATATTTCATAGCCTATGTAACAAGAAATATAGTTATTATTCTTATATGAAAAATACACTTGTTCAGATTCAGGTTATAGTTCTTTTAGTTACAAATGTTTTTTCTTCTTTCGAAATTTCCTATAACATCAGTTCGCTTCCCAATTCTTACTCAGCTAATTGAGTATTTCAATGCGAAGTTTTAGACATACTTATTCATGATCCAACTTGCACAGCAAGAAAGCGCTTGAGGTCGTATGCAAATCGAAGTTTATGTTTATTGACTCTGAGAATATATTCGGACTACCTAAGTGTAACAGAAATCGGTAGATTATTGAGAAAAAAAACCGTGTTAGAATCGTATCATTTCGTCTCTTTCATATCGATTCTCATCTTCATGAGTAACTATTCGTTTTGATTTTTTACTTTCCAGTCTAAATGATTAGTATAAACAAAGTAGAATACATCCATCTGACATTAAGCAATCTTACTTCATAAAATTCATCTGTTCGACATCAGCGACCGATTGAGGCAATGGTTGATGCAATGTTTCAGGAAACATCAATGCCAATAATGCAGCAATTAACGAAGCACAACCATATAATAATACTGGAAAATGAATCCATAATCGTGTCTAGAACGAAATAGTTCGAAACATAAACGTGATTTTAATTTGATCTTTACCAGATTATCATTCGAAAACGTGCCGATAATCGCACCGATACGTGCGACCATTGAACAAATTCCCATTCCGGTATTTCGAACATTCGTTGGGAAAAGTTCATTTGCATATATGTAAATAATTGCGTACGATGACGATGCGAGGAATTTCAAAGTACCATTAATAATATTCATGATTATCTTTTGATCTAAACGAATTGAATTGTAGCATGGAAATAGTTCGCGCGAACAAACTTTGCCCGTCTTTTTCCATTAGATATTGAACAGGAAGTATAAGAAATGAAACAAATGAGAACATGATGGCAAATGTGCAGTAAGGAACTTTTCGACCGACTCGATCAAGAATCGAATGAACAACAATATATCCGAGCAGTTCGACAAATGCACTAACACCAAATGATGTATATGGATCGAAATCCCACGAACCTATTTGTAAATTTGTACTTCATTTTATATGATTTCAGACGAAAATCAACCTGTATTCTGTGAAACGCCGTAGAAAACAAGATTTTGCACGAGCCTAAATGGCAAAATAACAATGTAAAAATGATTTTTTTACAAAATGTACTGTAATTACCATTGAAAAAACAGATTGATGCTAATAACTGTCATGATTTTCGATTGGAATAGACTTTTTACTCCTTCCTTGTTTTTTTCTTGTGACATAATCTAAATTCAGAACATCGAACATTTATTCTCTCATCAAAAAGAACTTGCTACTTACTTCGATTTGCTCCTGTTTAAGTTGTTCAAAGGCATTTGTATCAAATTCATATCCATTCATTTTAGCAATCTTTCTTAAAACTTGTTCGCCTTCATCGAATCGACCTTTACTTATCAGCCATCGTGGGCTTTCGGGTAAAATACTTCTCGTACGAAACAGGTATACACATAACATTAGTTGTACTCTTCGAATTGGATAACTTACCAATAAAAGAAAAGATACGGGTATGTAAATAAAGATATGGCCCATGTTAGAGTTCGCCATGTTCGAATAAAATATGCGAATATTAATAGAATCATTTGGCCAAATGCAAAGAAATATTCAATAACAATACCTGTCAACAGTCGTTTTTCTGGTCCAACTACAAATGATCAGTAAAACGTTTTATGCCATGAGACTTTTGCCAATTACCTATTTCAGAACCGAGCACAAAGCCAGATACGGAAATTCCCCTCGTCGAACAGGCAATTAGAAACCTCGCTAAGACAAATATCACATAGGATGGCCAAAATCCCAGCGATTTCTGTGGTCCAAATGTACACAATAAACTCGATAATGTCATCAGAAGAAAACTAATGCTCATAATCGGTCGGCGACCATACCTATACGGAAAGAAAAACAATTACGAAAGGCGAGACTGGCTGTCTATGAATGCTTATACTTATCAGCAAGGATGCCGAATAGAATCGAACCAACCATATAACCAACAAAGAAAATCATTTGTACCCATGAACGATAGCTAACACGATCGCAGACCATATTCCACTGCAAGAAATGGTTTTAACTAAACTGCTTATTCAAATCAAACGTCTACTTCTTCGATTAATGTCGTTTTGTAGTATGTACGATCGAAAACGTAATCGTCACATGTTTGTAATGTCGAATTGATCAAAGATGAGCGCAGAAAACATCGTTGACATTCTTTTAACGAAAGAAATTTTTGGTGTAATAAACATTGTTCGCTTGTTGGACGATAGTCTTCGTTGAATAAGGAATCGAACGTTTGATTATACTTGTCTATTGATTGTAATGAAGGATTTCGACAGCGAAAATTAGGTGTAGCAGCTGTAAATGAGTATGTGTACACCATGATTGGCGGTAACATGTATGTTAAACATATAATCGCATATTTGATCTTTTGAAATCGTCCCCAATCGTTTATTAGGAATAGAAACTCGTCAAACTTCATCAAGAAGATATTCTTCTTCTTTTCTACTTCGTACAAGTGCGAACACCGCAAATGTGTGCTATTCTTTGTTTTATCGAATCAAGTGAAAGATGATTTTATACATAAGAATGAAACCGATACATCGTTCTCATGCAACCATGTAGATTGATAACTATTCCAATGATAAAACATGGCAAAGTTGCGATCATCGTTGAGAACAAAAGAGCAAGCCTAACACGACTATCATGTGAAGAAACCCTTCTCGTAATGACTCATCGCAAGAAAGTAAAGCACTTCCTTCGAATGAGTCACAAATGATATATTTACAAAATGTAATACACTCAGGTGAAAGGATTCATTTGTATTGACTTTCTTTGCTGTAAACACGTCGCACGTGAAACAACAGCCATGTCCTCTACATATTCTTCGAAGTCGAAGCCGTATACAGTTAACGAATGTTCGATTTGTTTGAGTGCTCTGAAGCAAGGTGCGCCAATACTTACGTTATCATGTGATCACAAATACCATTTTCAATGTTTAATGTCAAGTATCCGAGCACACCATAAACAATGTCCATTATGCCGAGCGACAATTGACGAATCAATTGTTCAATTGCTAGCTGCGAGTCGTAATGATGCTAGTTATCACAGTTCACGATCTACATCTGTAAACAATCTCTTTTCAACAACGCATCTCTCTAATCGTTTTCTATTTACAAGGATGATTTACTTGGATCAAACGTTGAATCATCGTCTGGTCTTCCGACGATTTCTGTAACTCCCCGACTTGAATATAAAGGACAATCGTCGGAAAGACCATCGAATATCTATGGACTTGTCACACTCCAAGCAAATTCGACAGGACACTATTCTCCATCATCATTGTCGTCTCGTGTACCAATTGATCTTATTTGTGTTGTTGATCAGAGTGCATCGATGTCCGGGGCGAAAATGATTCTATTGAAAGAAACGCTAACTTATATTACAGAACAATTGACAGACCGTGATCGATTAGCCATTGTTTCATTTGATAATCACGCTTACGATCGATCGCACGGATTGAAGCAAATGACTGAGAAAAAGTAAATCTAATTCAATGAACATATGTTTCACTGGATGTGTTTAATTTTGCTGTTTAGTAAACATAGATTACATCGAGTAATTAAACACGATCTCGAAGACGGATTTAGTACGAACATTAAACGTGGATTGGAAATGGCAATTGATCTGTTTCGAAATCGTCAAGGGGAAAATCCAATCAGTGCATTATTCTTGCTCACTGATGGGCAAGATGACGAGATTCAAGATTATTCACAAACTATGAGACAAGTGCCTGCGAATGTCGTTTGCCATACTTTTGGTTATGGACCAGATCATGCTGCGGCGTTACTAGTGAAAATAGCTGAATCTGGTAATGATGGAACTTTCACCTATATTGTAAGTTTGCCTAAGAATCGACAATACAATTTCTCACTTCTTCTGTCAGGATAAGTACGACGCTATTGGTCCTGCATTTGCTATTGCACTGGCTGGCTTGTTAACATGTGTAGCGCAAAACATTCGTGTTGAGATTGAATTCAACCACGAATATCAAATAACTCATGCTCATTCTATATACAAACATGAGCCCGAACGTTTACCATCGTCAAGAATTGCATTCAAACTAAACGATCTCAATGCGGATGAAAAACGAAATCTCATCTTCCAATTATCTGTGCCGAGTTTGAGAGGACAAACTTCGATACAGGATCATGTCATCGGTATGTTTACCACATCGTACAAAGGCAAAAATTATGTAGTTATCTTTCGTCGCCAGGTCATGTTTCAGTTCAATACGTTGAACCAAATACCAATCGCACATTGAGAACAACACCAGCGCCCTTTCATCTGATTCGAAGATCTCCTATGTCTGCAGAATATTTACGAGTCGATCATACTTTAGATGTTCAGCGCAATCGAATTGAAACTGCTCTTGTCCTGCGACAGGCTATGGAAGAGCACAACTACAATCTATCGAAAGCTTTACTCAGAGCACAGGTTGACAGAATAAAAGCAAGTGCATCAGCGCAAGATCCATTTTGCCGACAGTTAATCCGCGATCTGGAACATCCTTACTCAACAGAAAACGATTATCGTTCGACGCATCACAATATTTACATGCAACATGCAACAGAACGTGGGACTTATTCATCTGCAAGTAGTTCTAGTGCACACGTCTACTCAAATCCGAACCATTTAAGCCAAATTCAAAACTATCAAAGACAAAATGAATAGTATTACATGATTTCTAAAAGAAAAGATATGTAAACAAAAACAATAAATAAACATCTAGAACTCTTTCTCTGTGCCTTTTGTTCTACATGAGCTTGTGTTTTTCGTTTCTCTCCGTGATTTCCAAAAATTATTGTTCAGTCAGTTGATCCTCTTGGTGAAGTGCTTTTAGTGTTGACTTGAAAAAAGAAAGATCAGTCAATTGAAAATCAAACAATTTTCCTAGATGATCAACTGGAACAGATTTGATAAGTTCCACTTAATGACAAACCAAGATTTCTACTCTCTCTCTCTCTCTCATATTACAGGCAAAAACGTTTGACGTCAGCATTTCGAGCATTATACACTCACACCAGAAATTGATATAATAAGCTAAAGGCAAAATACAACCTGGAGATCTCGATAGCGTTCGTATCAGTTTTAATCCTAGAGTAACGCTTCAAAAATCATGCGTAGTTCATCTAATGATGTTCTATAGCTAATTGACTTGCGTTTGCCCCGAAGGCATATTACACTAAACCAAGAACACTTATCCCTACTTTATTCTGACGTCATGGTAATCGAGTTTGGCTTTCAATTAAATATCATGGATTATCCCACAGCTTTCCATAATTATTATTATCTCAACTCTTTTCAACATCATCACATCTTATATTCTCAATTGGACAAGACATCATCATGTCAGCATCGATCAACTACGGTTTCATTCTCACACTCTCGTCAATCAAACGAAATTTATTCTCAATTGGCGGTCCAATTTTAGTCATCTTGGGCACAATCGGCAGCATTCTAAGCTTCAGCATATTTATTCAAAAACATCTACGAAAGAATCCATGTTCAATTTACTTCATGGCATACAACATCGCAAGTATCGGAGTTATATACGGAGGATTACTTCCACCCGTACTGGAACTCGGTTATAGCATCGATTATTCTATTTACAATCTTGATATATGTCGTTTACGATTATATGCGGCCGTTTCACTCGGTTGCATATGTCCATCGTATCTCATTCTGGCGTCAATTGATCGCGTTTTCATTACGTCGCCTAAAGCTCACATGCGAAGACTCAGTAGTCGCCGTTATGCGGCTATATTTATAATCACCGGAACATTGTTTTGGTTATTATGTTCAATACCTATCGGCGTGTTTGCTGCTATCTTGAATCCGGCACCGAACTATTTAATTTGTCTTACGCAAACAAATACTTATACACGTACGATTAGTTATGGATCATTGGCTAAAGAAATACTGGTGCCATCAATGATGGTCTTCTTCGGAGTATGGGCAGTGAAAAATATCCATCACATGAAACTCGTGCGAATTGCACCCACCGGATCACTTCACACAACTCAGCGCAAGACTGGCACACCTATGATTCAAGCAAAAGATCGTCAGCTTGTTGTTCTGATGCTTATAAATATCATTATTTATGTTCCCTTCAGTTGTGTTTTACCAATTGTACTTCTTTATACACAACTAACAGCAAGTCAATCAGAAAGTATAGAAACGCTGCAGTCGCAGGACTTTCTCTTTCGTGTGGCAACTTATTGCGTATATGTACCGTACTGTATAAATTCTTATGCGCACTTATTTATGTCGAAAACATTTCGCAAGGAATTGAAGGATATCATCTTGACTGGACGATTGTTTCCATGTTGTGCATAAAGTTCTATGTAGTTTATCTGTGTTATAAAAATACATCATTCTAAATAAAAAAGACAAACAAATATTTTATCGAATTCAACATAGAGACACACAAGTTCTAAGTTGGAATGTGATAATGAAAGTCAGCCTGTTAATAAAACTGATCAAAACAAACTTGCACAAAATTTTTTTTTGTGTAAATTTTTACAAATATACGTATATTCGTTCGTTACGCAATCTATTCGTGGTATGAAAGTATGTCTTTACTTCTTTCTTTCAAATAAATATTCGAGTATCATACGGTTGATCGTCTAATAAACTGTCAGACCTTAGTATTATGCTATATAAAAAAAAGATATAAGATGGATTTCTATCGGTAATCCTGATAATAAAGTCATTATAGAAAGCACCATATATTATGATAACAATTAATTAGAATAAACCAATGCAGTTAACTATCGAGACCAAAATAATCGAATGTTTTTTGTTTCGAACATGTTGCAAATCAGTAGCAAAGTAGCAGTAAGTATTTTTATCAAGAATGTTGTGTACGACACAGCAGTGTTCTTATCCGCAAGACTCATATTAATATATAGTCTACCACCACCGATCTACACCTTGTGTTGTGGTGAATTTTTAGCGGAAAGCATTGAGTCATTATATAAAGTGCCTGATTGATAAATTCGCGCTTTTCTCCGATTTAAAATTTACAAAATACTTGAATTAGTGTTGTAAATAATTTTATGATAGCTGCTAAAAAAATTCCTTTTCCCTTTCATTTCTTGTCGAGAAGTATGAGTAAAATATTGAAATATGTCGTACAATACTACTTGTCATGGGTTATCAGACAGTATATGAAATATCTCTCAAGTAACAAATATATTTGTACGACAAGATGTTCAAGTTTCTTCCACTACAGCTCTACGTCTTTGGTAGATGAGCAAAGTTCTAGTGGGTATAGGAGTTCTGCTGGCGTGACGATGAAATGATCGTATTGGTAGATAAATAAGCTATGAACACATTATATTCATCATTACTCGTATAGAGGAAGTGCATCAACTATGTTCAAATGTACACAAACAAAATTTCTTAGTCAACTGAAAGCTTCATATCTCTATGCAACTGTTGGACTTCGCCAACTCAGAATAATAAATTCAATTCCGTTGAATTTTAAGTTATGTATGGCGTTATTGTAAATGGATTTTTTAACGAATTGACTCGAATAATCTGTGTACATTTTCATCGAATCAAACAAGGATTTATTCATGTTGCAAGCTATTCTTAAAATCTATCAAATATCGTCATCTCCGTCTTCTTGCTCGTTAATAACTGTTTCTAAATCTGATGAACCGTGTATTGATAATAGGCTCAGACCGATTATCATGAATATTTACTTGAAATTGATTTAATTCACAACACTAAAAGTACAGACAAAGCAATACCAGGCACTGAGGCATCAATCAACAAGCCGTACATGCAAGTGTATGGCATGTCATTGTTCATCATTATGTCATATCGTGCCGATCACGGTAGTCACTCTCAAATACGACTTGATTTCAAACGATCAGATGAATTCCAAAAAGTCTATAATTACATCTTCTATTAATAACCTAACAGATATCTGTATGGAAAAAAATGATAACCAGTATACTGAAAATGCGCGTACGAAATATGCCTATGTTTGTGCAAATATGCGCCCGTCGAAAAGTTCTCAAAACTGCAAGGCATCTTTATATTTTACTATTGATTTTAAGCACAATTTATAATTATTTTATTGTCTTATAGAAGATTTTGTATGGCCTCTTTCAAGGATTGTACCGTGGAAATACAGCGGCTTTCATTCAACAGTTCTCATCATGTTCGCCCATTAAAATGCTAACTAGATTAGCTGTACTGTACCAAAGGGAGATCAATAACGGCAAAGTAGAGTTTCCTTGATACCTTGCTGAACTTTATGCACAGAGAAAATAGATTTACGTGAGCAAAGCAATCGGAAGGGTGTGACAACTGGTGAGGGTATGTCACTTTTTCCTTTCTCAACTTTGAGAAAATTTTGCCATACAAATTAACCTCAAGATTTGTTTCGCTTCAATACACATTGTTCGACTGTCACGATAGGAGCGTCGTATTCTGTACTTTCATTTGAACTTTAAAAAAAATTTTTGTCAAAGTACTTTTATGTCTCATTGTGTTCTCTCACTGCAAACGGTGTAAATATATCTTTCAATCGTTTGTCCGCGTGAGACCAGATAAAACAATCTACAGATGTTAGCATATTCTTCTTATCTTTTTAAGCCATAACGAATTCTTTTTCTTCACAATGCCGAAATGTTTAAACCATGTCTCTGATGCTTGAGGAGTGACGAGCGCGTTGATTTCATCTTGTGATAGTTCTCTGGCATAAACACGTAATTCGTCAATCAATCCTTGATATATTCTTGAACGAACGATCATATTCGAATCATACGCAGAGCCCGCGATCGCGCCGATAGAGGATTGGCTATAAATGTGATATCGTCGCTCTGACCAGATGCTGAATAAGAAAATGATGTTGACTGAGACATTAATATTCCATTGACATATAGACGAAGGCCAACCGGCGGAGAATACGTTGTTGTTATATGAGTCCATACGTCCGTAGACAGAATTGAGCCATTAGCAATAACTGGAGATGATTTCTAACGGCGACTAAGAATTGCGCCACTGACAAGAAAGCCTAACAGATCAATACACCATCCCTGGCCGTCATTTTGCGCAGAGAGATGTATAAGTGATGCTTCTTGGATAGTTGCTGGTTGAGTCCAAAGCGAAACGGAATACGGTTGATTCGATTGACCTAAAGGAGTGAAACCTTCAATCTAAATCGAAAGAAATATGTTAATTTTTGAAGAGCAAACAGTAGCCATTTTTACTTTGTACAATGATGTATTAGATGAAAAGTTCAACGCTTGATTAATTCGTCCAACTGCTGATGATACATCAACAGCTTGAATGGCATGAAGATTGTTTTCACTTGAACCAGCATATGAACCATTGTCATAGGTATGTCAGGCAGATAAATCTGAGTTACCTAACTCTAAGGAGTAAAACAAACAGTTCGAAAATAAAATGCAGAACAGTTTCATACTCGTCGGTGACTGAAATATGTAGAAGTTCGTATTTGTATTACGCGTCATCCAAAAATCATAGAATGTTCTTTGCGAAAAAATATTATTGTCGATGAAACAATAAAAAGAGCTGATACGGATTGAATTCGAATTCGATGAGTTCGTTACTACAGTACATAGGCATTCCTCACATATTCATTGCATAACCGGAACATCCACGGAGCGTGAACTCCATTGATGTACATTCAATGATACATTATTTATAATACCAAAAAGCATGAATAAGTGGTTTGCTGGATAAAATACAGAAGATAATTGAAAAAAACAGCATGATCAGATGATAGAAATTTTGCAGTTGTTCGGTTTATTAAGGAACGTTTGTGAGAGAAAAAGAACTGCTTCTCTGTTTCTTTTCTTCCTCCAGTAATTAAGGAATTCTGTTATTCGATTTTCTTCCGTCATCATTTATCCTTTCCGTTAGATTACAAATAAAAACAGTTTTATGGAGAGTTCTCCATAGATGATTAGGCGCTTAATAAATGAAACAAAAGTACGTGTTGTTCTTTCTCATTTCCGCCTTAACTCACATATAAATGAATCTTATTTGACGATGTGCAAGCATGATACTAAAACATCTGAAACGATAACAGTCACGATGCCATCTGTATCCTCGGTCTAGTACACTTTTTTGTCTTGACGCTGCCTTACAAATTTTAATTTTTCACCTTGTCTTGCGGTAAGTGTATGAAGAATACTGACATTTTTCTTAGCCCAAATAAAGTATTTACAATTGTCAAGACTGCCTGCAACGAGGTGAATATTTGGAGTGAGTATTATTTTTACTCAGTCTTCTCGACAGAATTGTCGATGATAAAGTTTCTCTCTCGTGATGTGTGTAATAAACCGCGTATCTAAACGTGTAAAATTGGTGTACTTTGGATCCTGGTTGATGAACTAAGAGATGAGCAAAACGTCTATCTCAACTAACTTCTTCAAGATCAGATACGTTAAATAAATACCTTGAATTGACTGCGAAAATAGAATGTAAATATTCAGATGTATTCTATACCAACTCAATGGTTAGCATCCTTGTTTGTGTTCAACGGTACTCATTATTTTGGATCCAACGAAGAGCAACAAGCCTATTGTCAGTGCTTAGGTTTATGTCTCATGCCTCGAACTAAAGCAGAAGATGAGGCTTTCGAAAAAGGCTGGATTGCCATCGATGGATTTGTTAGTCATCCAACACATCGTACTCTTTTACATCTCAATGCTGTCCAATTCACATCGAATCCATTGGCATTCATCAAACAATTACTCGAAACGCGAAATAATTCATATATACCGATAATATCACATGTTGGTGGTATTATTTTCGATACGCGAAAATTTGACTTTTAAATTTCTTTCATCTTAACAAAACGACACACTTTTTTTGTATGTATATTCGATGATATTTAACAATAATCAAAACCTATCGAAATCTATAAAAAGCAACAGTTCTGCTACATTTCAAGACAAGCATGTGCGCCGTGAGGTACAATTTTTTTATACAGAAAGGATTACTTTTTCGAAGATCGTTTCCTAGACTCCTCAACAATCGGCAATCTCCCATTTTCCCAAACAATAATCCATCCAAATCCTTGACCATTGAATATATCTTCAAATTCAATTGCTTCCGGTCTGTTTGCTACTGAATCTAAGACATACCATGAATCGTCGTGTTTCTTCGCACACCAAACATGACCATCATCGAAGATGATCACTGATGCACAATCGTCCGAGAAGTTTTTTCTAAAAATAAATGGTACCTGCATGTAGAACAAGAAAAGACGGGCGTTCGTACTTGAGTTCAGGAGGATTGTTCGGTGGGTAGTATGAACTTGTAGCGTGGAATTTATTCAAGATGAAATTGAAGATATTATTATTAATGGAATGAATAAAGACAACATCACGGCTTCCAGCACAGCGGTTTTGCTTGTCAAATTCATCGCAATATTCGAAGAATCTACAAGAACAGATATCTAGGAAGTACTGGTGCGGATAATGATCTTACTTTGCTTCACTAAGAATCGATTGTCCTAATGCATTGTTGATTGCATGGATTCGACAAGAATCCTTGCTTTTCTGTTTTTCAAAATAAAGCGATCGTACCGTTTTAAACTTTCTCGAATGTTTACTCATACCTCAACCCGACGATATTTGCTGTCTTAATTTACTTGTTTACATGCGTATAAATAGAGAAACGAATACATGATGCATAAATATTTCATAATCCTCCTGCGTAATGAAATCACACACGGATCGTATATACGATACTTTATCATGATGAATCGTCAACAGGAAGTGACGCAAACTATTCAATGGCAAGGAATGTTCTAAAATTTAGTTAGGAAGAAAATCGAACAAATTCTCACCCCAAAGAAGTATATTCTTCCGCTAGACTGTTGTCAAGATGACGTCAGGAATGTAGACAACATTAAAAGACAGAAAAAGCCCTACCCACGTCACGTTTGATTTTTGTCCTGTTCTTTTCCAACTTGTCTATAGTGTTACAACGCAAGATGATTCACTGAAAAGTAAACATAACCCGAATAAATTTCCATCATTACTCGGTCTGTAATTTTGAAAGACAAACATTCTATCCAGCGTGTACGTATTGTTGAAGGGAGAAATCCACAGTTGTGTTCTGTAAGCTTTCATGAAATTTCCAATGATCTCGAAGAAAAAGAATTGAGAAACTGGAAATTATGCACTTATATAGGCCGTGTCATATAGGCATTGTAAGTAATCATTGCTTGCATTTCTTCGATTAGGATGGCTCAATCACGCGAAAATGAAATCGACTATTTTCAGGTGAGAATTGCTGGGAAAAACAAATATTTCTATATTGCTTCTGTTTAGTCGTTGACAAATTGGTCCGATCGACAGAAGATCGTCGACTTTTTAGCTATGTGCGAATGGAATCTGTTTGTATGTGAACATTCTTTGTGATATTATATATTTCATCTTTCTGTTATTCTAGTTTGCCATAGATATATACTTAATCATCGCGCGTAAGTATTTTTCTCTTTAAAACATTTCGTGTACAATTCCAATCCTGTGTATAGAAACGCCAGCGAATGAGGAGTCTGTTCCAAATGAAACAAAACTAGAAAAGAGTCCCATTGAATCGAATCCGCGATTGTTCAATTCCATGTCTTTGGCAGACACAACAACTGGCTACTCAAACCGAACTTCATTCATTGACTATGTTGAGCAACTGCCCCCTTCGGTTACCAGTCGGACATCCTCAATGTTTGTTCAGCTCGATAAATTCAACCAAGGTATGTTGAAACGTAAACCTCGTATTTGTCCAAATCACACTATTCATCGTCTAGATCAAAGGAAACTTCTTCAATACGTAGATTCGAATGTTATTGGTCGAGATCGTTGGATTCAAACACCATGGGGACGACGAAAACGTCAGACGGTGTACTTTCTACCATATTCAAATGTAACTTCGTTTTCTCTTTTAGTCGTCTACGCTGATTACACCGCATCGGGCCGTGCTCTTCGATTTATCGAAGAATATATGATGGAAAACGTTTTACCATAGTACGATGAACTTTTCAGTTAATATCTTATCGATTCTATTTTTCAGCTATGCGAACACGCACAGTGAAAATAATGCATGTGCTTTGCAAACAACACGACTTCGTGAAAGTGCACGTAGCCTCATTAAAAAATTAGTCAATGCAATGATAGATGACGTCGTCATTTTTACCGGATCTGGTAAAGCAATTGAGATTTTGCTTTGAACGAACGGCTACAAATTGAGTTTATTTAGGATCGACAGGAGCAATCAACAAGCTTGTCAGCGTTTTAAATCTGCACAATCAACAAGTTCGAGAACAGTTTGTTGTTTTCGTCAGTACATTCGAGCATCATTCGAATATTCTTCCTTGGAAAGAAACCGGTGTCGAATTAGTACGCATTACAAACACATCCGACGGCCTTCTTGATCAAAATATGCTTGAAGATCGATTGAAATTCTACGCACTCGATCAAAAAAAGCATATTATTTGTACATTTAATGCTGCGAGTAATGTGACCGGTATTCGAACTGATGTCAATACCGTTTCCACATTAGTACATCGATATAATGGTCGGATTTTCTGGGATTATGCCGCTGCAGCGCCCTACGTGAAAATCGATATGAATCCATCAGTAGACGCTTATAAAGATGCAGTTTTCATCTCTACACATAAATTCGTCGGTGGACCAGGCACACCCGGTAAATTCTCGAGATCGTTGTTAACTCTTTCGAGTATAAGAATGAGTATTTTAGGTATTTTAATTGCAAAGAAGAATCTGTTCCAAAATCCTGTTCCATGTAACTGTGGCGGTGGCACAGTCAACTACGTCACACGTAATGACGTTGAATACATTCACGACATCGAAGGACGAGAAGAAGGTGGAACACCGGACATACTCGGTGCAATTCGGGCCGGATTAGTAATGCATTTAAAAGATGCGATCGGGTGTGATTTGATCGAAGCACGCGAGGAGGAACTAGTTAAAAAATTCCTTCGACGTTTTCGAAAGCATCCAACATTGTTCATTCTCGGTTCAACAACCGTTCCTCGGCTAGCAATCTTCTCGTTCTTGATCTATGTCAAATCCAGCGACAAATATTTACATCATCATTTTGTCTGCGTTCTACTAAATGATTTATTTGGTATTCAAGTACGATCAGGATGCTCGTGCGCAGGTCCCTATGTTCTAGTATGATGACTCACAATGTTTATAATGAAAGTTGTATGTTTCTTATCGTTAAGGATCTTCTTAACATTGATGATCACACGGCTAAGATTTATTCGGACTTCATTACTCAAGATGCAAAGTATATGATAGGACAGAAGTGGATCTGTGAACGTATGTTTTTCTTTGCAGCGGACGATTTGATTCCAAAGAACAGAATGCTCTGATGAAACCCGGTTTTACCCGATTTAATTTATCATACTTTGCCAGTGACAAAGAAGTCGATTATATCCTTGATGCGTTGGATTTTATTGCGACTGATGGTTGGAAATTCTTACCATTGGTAAATTGCTATACCTGATTTTTTTTCTCAATGAGTATGAACACTGAATTTGTATTTTGAAGTACGCATATGATCTCACAACTGCTAGTTGGCATCTTCGTGATCACAAACACAACGTTCACGATTTTGCTCAATTGCATAGTCTTAGAATGATAACCTATGAGAACGGTACGTTGGAGGAAGGTTTTCCTCAACGCAACCTTCAACTAACGGTAAAAAGAAAATATCTAGACTCTGTTTGATTTTCTTGCGATGAAATCATTGTAGAATACCAATGTTCTTCCTCAATTGGTCGTCACTTCGTCATCGGATGACCCATTGGAGCAAGCGAAAGCAATGACTCTGAATATTGCCAACTACGTTTACGAAAATGTTGATTTTCGTACAGATCCACCATTGAATGTTCCCGATGAATATCGTCGCTTCATCTGGTTCGTGCAACCGAGAGATATTATCTTGAAGATGTTGATAGATCACGAAAAGCAACGTGAGCATGCAACAGTGCCGTTTCGTCCTTAATCGACATTTCGATAATTACATTTTTATTCTTTTTCCTTTATTCAACGAATAAAATCTCCTGTCAATATTGTGTTACTTTTTCTGTCTCAGTACCGAATGATAAGAACGAAAGAGAACGAACGATGTGCACCCTCACTTATTTCACAAAGTCCATGCGTGATCACAACGATTAAAATTGCTGCGTCATGCTTGTATAGAATAGTGTGTGTGAACCATTCATATTCATGCAGATATTCTCTTTCCCCATCATCATGACATAGACGTTTCGTTCCGATGTATAAATACGCAATTGGACTAGACTAACAACCATTTCTTTGGTGAGTACACAAATAAAACATGACGATTGAGAAAAGCAGCAACAACACGCGCGATGTGAACACTACTTTGACTTATAATAGAGCATTGCCTTCCAATGATGCATCTGAACATTGGTTTATCAATATCAATGCGTCGAGTGATGGAAAGCGTGTTCAAAATTTTGAAGAAGATGTCATCGAAACAACTATACACGACATCCGAGGTCGCGAATCAGAAACACACATCGACGTGACCGGTTTCCAAGCTATTCATTCACCAAGTGCTGTCGATCCTGATCTTATTCTCGATGGAACTGACGAGCAAGTGAAGGAGATATATTATGGTGAAGTTGAACAATTAATTAAACGTGTTACAGGTGCTGATCATGTCGTTTTCTTCGATCATACCATACGTCGAGTGAGACCAAATCAAGTAGACGATTCTCCAGCCGTCCGTCAACCCGTACAGCGAACACACGTTGATCAAACACCGATTAGTGCACATGCACGTGTGCAACGACATGCACCAAACATCCAGTGGAAACGCTTCCAGCTAATCAATGTATGGCGACCGTTGAAGAATCCTGTATATGATTATCCACTTGCTGTAGCCGATTGCCGTACTGTTGATGTGATCAATGACCTTGTACCAACAACACTTGTCTATCCACCACCATTACCGAATGGAGAAACGTACTCCGTGGTTCATAATCCTAACCAACGATGGTATTACTGGTCGAAGATGACACCGGATGAAGTATTGTTTTTAAAATGCTATGATAGTGCCAGTCGAGCTTTGTCAACGGTGAAACAAAGTGCTGCGCAAGTCGACGAGACACTTCTACGTGACGTGGCTGGTTTGACACCACACACAGCTTTCTATGACGCTCAAGGTGCACAAGAAGGGCCAAGTAGAAATTCAATTGAAGTACGAGCTCTCGTTTTTTATAATTAACTTTTTGTAACTTTGTACTTAATAAAATTTCAAAACAAGAAAAAAACATAGTTTTATTTTTATCTCTAAGAATTCGTTGTGTCTTCAATCTTGATAATCGGATTCCTTGGCGCATTAACATAGACGAACCGTTCGATAAGAGGGCGTCTTCGTCGTCGCTGCGCGAGCCTAGCACGTCGTATTTGTACTCGTTCTTCACGAACAGGATCAATACCAAATCCATATCTCAATATGTCCATTATAATTACAAATGCTGCAACACATCCTAGAGCGATAACCGCAATGTATGCAAATGATTTCGATACAATTTTAAATATAACGATCTTCTTTGAAGCAGTTTCACAATGACGGCCTGAGTAGCTACTACCCAAACATTCGCATTTATAACTTCGTAGTAATGGTCGGCATACTCCGTTGTTTGAACATGTAATATTATGACAATAGTTCGTCATCGATTCACAATGAATACCTTGCCATCCGTCATCACATTCACAATGAAATGTTGTATCTGATGTCTGATTACATTTACCTAACAAACGACAAAAACAGTGATCCATGTTGATGAAATGTAAATAGAGAAATAGATTACCATGATACAAACAAGTGTATGATTTGCAAGGCCGACGATCGATTTCACAAGTTGTACCATTGAAGCCGATCTGGCAAGAACAGTCGTAACCGTGATGATTTGTTGTGTTGATATTGCAAGTGCCATTGTTTTGACATGGATTCGATATGTTACAGATATGATTAGGAATACTACAGTTAGGGCCAATGTATGTCGAATCATTACAAGGGGATGCGATGAAAATAAACGACGATTCAGTATCTACACGATAGTAAAAACAAACTTATTTGAGTTTAAAATCAAAACGAAGGTTACTTGTCATTAAAAGTGTTTCCGACGTAGTGATTATATCAGTAGTCGTGTTCGTATGATAAGAATGCTCATGACAAGAGTTCGTAGTTAGCGTAAACTTTTGAAGGCGCGCATTATTTCGATCAACGACAAATAAGTTACCATAACTGTCGAAACTTATTGTTATTGACCCGTTTAATTCGTTTGGTTTGGAACCACTTTTACCCGAGCATCCCACTAAACATCGAAAACCATTTGGTCCACTACCAATAATGCGAGCATTACCAGAGTCCACAACGAATAAATATCCATCGAAGTCTACAATGACTCCTGAGGGCGTATTCAATGTAGTTTCTTCAATAGTTTCATTGCCTAGAACAGTTTGACCGATTTTATTTCCTCTCTGAAAACATTGAATCCTATGATTTTCGGAGTCGGCCACATACAGATTGAGCTTAGTATCGACAAAAATTCCTCGCGGATGTGTGAGCCTATCAGAAGTAAATCCAGGAGAACCATTGCCTGCTGCCATCNTCGGCCACATACAGATTTAGCTTAGTATCGACAAAAATTCCTCGCGGATGTGTGAGCCTATCAGAAGTAAATCCAGGAGAACCATTGCCTGCTGCCATCGTCCAATTAACAGTGCTCTTGTACAATGAATTTCTAATTACTTGATGCTTCCACTGAATAGAACAATAGATGTTATCATTCACATCGACGAAAAGTCCAAAACAAGAGTCATTGTACTGCAACAATTGAATGCTATATGTTCCACTCTGTGTCCACAATTCGATACGATTCTTCTTACCATTGTCCACAACTATGTCAAAATTAGTCGTTACAAAGACACTGAATGGCTGATTCAATTCACCACGATTCAATATCGTTGACATCGAACCCTCATTTGTCCATAATTCTATCCAATTCTTTACAACGTTAGTCACGTAAATACTATTATTGTTAGTAACAAAAATTGCAAAAGATCCATTATGGCCAATCATCAAAGTTGTAGCGTTTTCTGTCCAAGACGTCGATGGACAGAACTTCGGTTGATTATAGATCGGCACTATAAATTAAAAAATTTATAAGTATAGCTAGAAAGTATAGTTAACCATTGTACTCACTACAAGAGTTGGATTGTATTAGAAATTTTTGAACCCGATGGTTCTCTCGATCAGTAACAAACATATTGCCGTGACTGTCAAATGCTAAGGACTCTGGACGGTTTAGTTGAAACGAACTTGAACCTGCCGCACCATAACATCCCACTAGACATCGAAATCCATACGGCCCTGAACCGACTATTCGATGATTGCCTTCGTCGACTACGTATAAGTATCCATTTGCATCCAATAGGACTCCAGTTGGCCAATAGAGTTCAATAGTGTCCTTTGCTTCTTTTCCAGCTACTGTCACACCAGTTTTATTGCCATCTGTAAACAGTTGAACTCGGTTGTTACCGCAGTCAGCTACGTAGAGATCAAGCTTATTATTAACGAAAATTCCACGAGGCCAGTACAACATTTGAGCGCTTGCTCCTCGTTGTCCAGTGCCCGCCACGACAACTGATACATTGGCTCCAGCAGTAAGCGATTGTCTTATTACTTGATGTTTCTCACGGACAGTAAAATACAGGTTTTTTACGATATCAACGAATAAACCAAAGCAGGCTTCATTAACGTTGGATAGTGTAATATTACTTTCTTCATTTTCTGACCAAACCCTCACTGTATTGTTTACACCATTCTCAATATAAATATCTCCATTAGCCATGACGAAGAGACTCATTGGATTAAATGAGTGTTTGAATTTGATTGCCGATGGTTCGGTGTCACTGTTAAACCATACAATCACTTCATGTTTTTCCTGCCCAGCAACATAGATAGTGTTGTTTTGGTCGATAAAGATTCCACGAGGCGATGCACCAACTATTTCCTTGCCAGCTAAAGTAATAGCTGCAGGATTCCAAGATGGAAACAAGCAGAATTTCGGCTGATTAAACGAAATACCTGTAGCAAAAAATTCCAAGTGATTTTATACGCTGAAAGAGAAACAATGAAGCTAAACAATTTCAACATACTTTGATCACTAGACTTTTGTGAAGCGGTCGATGGCAAATTTATCGTTGATGTGAAAAGTAGCCATATGAGAAGAAAAACTTTTAGCAACATGTCCTACTAATGACAATCAAGAGATTGAAATGAACTTTGAGGACAATTAATCAAAAGCGTTTTTCTTTTTATTTGACAGCAAATATCTGTCCGAATATTTGATCATATTTAATTACACCAGAACGTGAGATCTCTGCGTGATTATTTATTGAATCAATAATGGATACAATACTTCTGCAGATATAGAGCAAATCAACATTTGTAGAGCAAGAGAGAAAATGCTCGACATCTCTCTCACTCTAGACAGATTTGATTTCATTCTTCTTTTTGCTGAATTTCTAAGAAATTCTACCAATTAAAAGCATCGTTTATTCTCGCACATTTCGCCGTATTTCCCTGCTGACTGTATTCTTTTTTCGTGAGATCAGTTAAAACTTATTTATTGAAGGAATCTACACTGTGACAATACGCATTCGAGTGTTAGCAAGTTTTTACTGGTATTTGTTCGAAGTGACACCAACAGTTCCGCTCTTTTTATTGATATTCGACTTCTTATCATGTTATGTAAAAGTTGTTTGTAAATGATGAAGCCACATATAGGAAAATAAGACACCTGTTGAATACGGAATCAATCATTCGTTATGGGGCTAAGAACAGAAGTTTGAGTCGATTGATGAGATTTTGCAGTTCTTTTCGGTATAAATTCGCTGTTAACGTAAAGACATAAAAATTGATCTAAAGACAACAATTCACGCAAGTATATTGAATAAATCGATCACAGAGTTCAAACTTACCGCTTGACTAAGATTGAGTGTAATATAAGATATTTGGTAAACAAATAGAAATATTTTATCCATAGGAAGTGTCGGTTGAATAGCCGCTGCTATTAGTGAAAGATGATATGGTAAAGCAAGAAAGGCATAACATACAACATGTATGAATAACATGAGTAACAATTGACTATCGCCTCGGGCACGTCGTTTTTCTCTCGTTGTCGAATTAGTTACTGTGCTGATCATTGGTTGAATCCGTTGGGTTTGAATTCGAATATTATAGCTGGTGCCTAGTCCAAATATAAGAACTATGAATATAGCGATAAAATAATATCCTGTGGTGAAAAAGGGAAAAAAATTCTGATAAAAACCAGCTTCTGCTTGACATCTGAAATTTCTTATGTTGAATCGAATAACGATGTGGATGTAAGCTAAAGCCGTGATGAAAATAATAATAGGTATCACTATATAAGCGATTCGAGCTCGAGAGCTTAAACGACGTAGTTTAGGATGGACTGAACTGGAACAAAATCGATCGATTGTGATACAAGCTGTGAAATATGGAGCCAAATTATAAAGGACATAGAGCATAAACGTTCGAAAACGACAGTATTCAAGGCTGATGCTAGTTGCATATAAAACAGGAAATATTTGTGTCAACCATTGAATAAACGTACCGAACAGGAGAATTATAAGACCGTTGATTGATCCAGCAAGGAAATATATTGAACACGAACGATGAAGTGCTGGACGAGTGAATATATAAACACTCAGAAGATTACCAACAACACCAAAGACAACTATGATTGGTAATATGTATAAATTCAAATAATAAGATAGAACTGATAACTGCATTCTTATTCTGCACTAAATAAACTCTGATCTGCAAGATAAGATACAAACTCATATGTTCCTTTCACATAGAGCACAAAAAAAGAGTACAAAATTTATAAGAGGCATCCTTAAATCCAGAATGGTGAATGGCAAAGATGAGGAGAAGTTAATTGTGGCTCAGTCGACTTGTTAACACCAAGAATCTGTACTCTTTCATTATTATGGAACGTCATTTATACAGAGTGCGATTCTTCGCGTAAGATCGATTACACTCAAAGTTTTTCATTTTGCAGAAAACTTCAAATAGAAATATTATCTCTTTATGACAAAAAGCGCAACTATCAATTTAATTTTCACCGTCACGATGATGATTATACGCGTTGTATTGTCGAATAGACGATGAAGACCACTAATTCATTTACAATTCGATATGTAGTCATCGAGTTCATAATCTCACTGCGTTTAAATCTCGTTATTTTTGCATATGAACCGAATTTATCGAGAATAGACAATAAGTTAATCCGACGGTTTTGGTACTCGATAAATCTCTAAAAAATTTATTAGACATCAGTTCAAATGATTTATCTCACAATCCACAATGGCTTCAGGCGACAATGAATTGCCAAACGATATGCGATCACATAATATAGAACGAAGTTATTAGTACATTTAACTTCATATTTATCGTTTGCATATTTCAATCGCTATTTCGAATGTGCGTTATGAAGAAAATGTCAAGTAGGATACTTGTATCTTTATTGAGGAGAAAAATATCTCACTTATGATTATAAAAAAACTTAACTAATACACAAAAGGAACATATTTAAACACAGTGCCGAACTAATAGAGAGAAACGAAGGCGGCAGAATTTCAAACCGATTTCATAAATGATCCAAATTCTTGTTTGTCAATTCGTCCATCGTGATTAACATCGGCATAGTCAAACATAGCTCCAGCTGGATCATAATGATTGCTTTTTCTGGCGACGTTTGGTGCGCCAATACCAACATCAGGTCCAAGACCATATTTGTGTTGTTCACTTCCGGTTGCACCTGCTGTAAATTTTTCATATTGAATTGGATCTTGTGGTGCAAAGCCAGCTACAGCTACATCAAGACCAACTGGATATGTGATGGTTTCAGTTGCATGTCCTGAATGAGCCTATATCGAAATAATTTTGATTGAAATTCCAAACGAAAAGAAAGAGTAACTTACAGCAAAACTTTGAAGGTCTTGAGCTGATCCCGACAATCTTCTCTCGTCTTTAACGGGACCAAGAAATTGTCGAAATTCTCGTTCATCGATTCCACCATCATGGTTGACATCGGCTTGATTGAATTCATTATCAAATCTTTGTGGGTTGCTCATTGTGAAGTTTTGTATAAAATGTATATACTATCGAATGAAGAAAATTTCTCAGAAATAAATACTCCGTCTATGACGCACATGTAATCAATCATGCAAAACATATCGTCATTAATATCTCACTATCATTTTCTTTACTCTCTGCCTAAATATGATTTTTATCGGCCATCAAGGTTATTTTTCTCCCTAAAATTGTGTTTCTTTTTATAGCTTCACTCATTAAGGTTATACTCAAAAATACTGTCAGTAGTTCAGCTACCAATTCGATGTGTTTTATAGAATAATCGACAAAAATCAACATGCGCTCTGCATTCATCTGCGCCAACTTCGGTATCAACGATTGAAAGAATTCGATTTGAACACAAATTAGCAATGCTTTTTTATTCTACTATCATTGTCGATATACTTTATCGAAGAAATTTTCTCGTACAAGAACTCAGCAACAGAATTTTCAAATGTACTAGATGACTTATACTTTTTTCAACGCTGAAATGCCCGTTTATTTCTGCACTTTGTTTATATCACGTGTCGTCCCACATTACACCCTCAATGACCGTAAATGCCCATCCGTTAAAGATTAGCGTCGATGTAGGTGACGTGCACAAATGACCGTGACGGTTGATTTAAAATCGAATCTGTTTGCTTATCTTCATGGTGAATGGAGAACAAACTGTAAAATCCTCGTATACCAATTATATCTTTTCGCGAAGGTAACGTCTATGTAGATCCGATGTGAATACAACACCTATTTCGAACAAAAATCTTCTTGTCATACACGATGACTAGAATAATATGTATTGTTTTGTTTCTCGTTGAGTTTATAGTCGTTCGACGATAATTATTTCACACGTGTACGTTAACAGTGAGATCAATCAAGTACGGACTTTCATGAAATATACAACAGCAAAGTTACCTGCTCGCTGTGCAATAACTTCAACTGAAATAGATATATGTAGTGTATTCGTCCTTGTCGGCGTCATTATTTTCACATAATGTTTTATTTTGCTTCTGTTGAAGTAGAGATTAACTAGATAGTGATTCGTAGTAAACAAAATCAAAGTGCTTTATCGATTGAATCGTTGTGTTTTATTGGTAGTCAGTTGTTATTTTTTTACAAAATAATTGTTTAACGGGGTTCTCATTGTGAATTGTAGAAAATATTCGTAATATGACTGGTAATATATAAAATCCTAAGACACGTACGGTAAGTGAATCAGTCATAAAAGTAATAATAAACCGATTGATGTAATTGGCATCCAATATCGAAGTGAAATGTCACTTTCTGATCAGCAAGGGATTTGATGAGTTCATATCAGGAGCCCTTAATACAATACCAACACTGTTTTTTAGTCAATAATTATGTTCTGAACAAATATCAAATGATCAGCAAGTTGACTGCAATGCTGATTGAAAAACAGATTAAGATATATCCAAACATCGTATAGTTACTCACCTAGAGAAACAAGCTGTTTGGATAGGATGACCCATGTAAACGCCAGACGCAGGATAAACGCGTTCCGACGCAATTTACTTCGCAAATCGCACGTAGACGCGGTTTAAAATCAATTTTATCGCGTTCAAACGCGTATCTCAAGATAACTGCGTCTGAATGCAAAACAAAATAATTTTTTCTTGCACTTTGACGCAATTTTGTGTATGACCGCGTTCAGACGCAGCCAAAAGATTTTTTAGCTGCATTCAGATNAGAACAACTGTACTATCGTATTTACACTAACACATGCTAAACTATACGCAGGGGTGGCACTACAAATTGAAGATTTCTTCAACAATGCAACATTGGTAGCTAATACACCAATGAGTTCTGTTCCACTTCAGTTTCTCTTCTATGGCTATTCTGTAACAGGTAATTGTACAAAACCGCCACAAATCATTGGTAATCGACCCAACCGAGGTAAGCTTACAGCTTCCTAATCATACATTCTATCATATTGACTACACTTAGCTTGTATTGGCACATCCAATAGTACATTCGTCACCGAATCCATCATCGTCGAAACGTATTGTCCTGGACAATATGTTACTGATTTTGTTTCAAGTTCTCCAATTGGAATGAAGAAGAGTGCCATAATCAATTCAAGTTCAAGTAATAGTACTCATTCTAATATTCAAGTATTCATTATACCTCTTTCTTTTCACAGCTATTTTCGAGTTGATTCTTACCTGGAATGTCTCAAATACTCTCCACGGTCCCGAACCACTGTGTGCTGCTGCCGTCGATAATTTCCAATTACAATCCAATCAATGGTGTGTCACATTCGTCGTTGGTTATGACTCACCCGATGTCATTCGACCAACACTCGTTCAAGGTTCAGCATCACCCGTCGGCACCGTCTTCCAAAATCAATCTGTTTTCTCATTTCAAAGTAACACTTCTTTCTCACCACTAACAAAACATTTCTATGACCTTCCATTTTAGCAACAAAATTCGTTGGCCGCCCATCACGTAATGGTACAAATATCTACTTCAAAGATGCTGCTAATAATGTAACTGTTGCACAATTCGATTGTGGCTGGGCACCTGAAGTGACATTCACAGGATACACTACTGTCATTCGTTTCACAAATACATCATGGAAAGCTGGACACTTCTATTATATCACAATGGAAGGAGGTATATCCGATGTTAGATGAACTATAGATTTGGAATGTTTTCTTGTTTGATTGTAGGTGTTGTAAGTGGAACTGAGTTTTGTGGTAAGTGATCTGATACTTTTATTTGAGACGATGAATGAAAATGAAAGGAGACTTTAGGACCCGAATCAGCACCTATCAGAGATCCAACTTATTGGGTGTTCAACATCTGGGATCCAGCTGTTTCGTCAACAACAACAACTACCACAACACCTTTCACAACAGCTACTGTGACAACAAAACCAACATCGACAACAAGTATCAACACTTTGGTATGCGAATCTAGTTGCACACTTCATTTCAGTCATTCTGGTTGTTGATCTTTGTAGTTAACAACAACTGGCATAGTGGTTACAACTACTACTCCTATCACAACACCATCAACGACTTCGACAACTACACCACCAACTACAGCTGGTAAGTCATAAAATATCACAATGGTGTTTCACATTCATGTTGTGTGTTGTCTAGCTCCAACAACAGCTGGTCCAACAANATGCGAATCTAGTTGCACACTTCATTTCAGTCATTCTGGTTGTTGATCTTTGTAGTTAACAACAACTGGCATAGTGGTTACAACTACTACTCCTATCACAACACCATCAACGACTTCGACAACTACACCACCAACTACAGCTGGTAAGTCATAAAATATCACAATGGTGTTTCACATTCATGTTGTGTGTTATCTAGCTCCAACAACAGCTGGTCCAACAACTCCAGGAGTGACAACTGAGTCCACAGTTGCTGTCATGTATCCAAAAGATTTCGTAAACTTTTCATTCTATGTGAATGTTTATATAACTCTGTTTTCTATCTATTTCTCATAGGAAGATGCATGTAAATCATCTGTGGCAACGATGACAGCTGTGATATTTGCTGCATTGGCTCCTATACACACTATGATTATGTATGCTACATTCACCAAACTGGAGAAGATGTTCAGTCCATCTCGTGTGAATGCTGGTACACGACATAAGCTGCGAATGAAACGAATCATGCGGTCATAACGACAATATCACTAATTTGAACTACTATATGCTTAATCAAGAAGTGTGTGATTTTATCCTTAAATAAAAACTACTAAGAGTGAGCAAATTGTATTTTTACGTCCGTAGAAGCCTGTTTTGTATTGATTAACATGGAGAACAACACTGATGGACAGAATATAAATGATATTGAATAAAAGAATCATATGATGGCACGTCATCTATTCTGTATCTCTCTAATAAATATTATTGGTATTCAAGGCCATTACCATTACAGCACTCTCTATCTATCGAAACTTTCACATATTTTGACTAGAAAATCCGTTTTGATATTCACATATGTATCATTTACGCGAAAACTTTTCAATAAATCAGAAGACTATTTATTGAACATGAAATTCGTTGAGACGTTTGTTCAACTTATTCGATATGAATATTATTTGATTCCATTGGGATGACAACAACAAAATTGAACGATATCATAAGCGAACACTCAATTGAATCATATGCTAACTATGGACGTGCTGTCAAGAAGTATGATTTATACATTTTAATCAACAACATTATTGTTGATAAATTTGATATAGATCTTCTAGCTTTACTCTAAATCGCATTGAGTCTGATAGACGAAGCCTTTTAGAATAAGTTTGTGTAATAAACAGACTACTAAATACATGTCAGTAAGGTATTCGAAATATTGCGTTAAAATTTCTTCCATTGTTCACCATATCTTGGACTGCAATAACCAACCAGATCAGGTACACCTTTCGCTGTGAAATACCACATATGAAAAGAAAATTGAAGAGCTGCCTACCAATCATTTCCACTTGTTTAAGCTATCCCTGTGCGCCGAAGTGTATATGCGCCATAATTCATATGACGAGCAAGAAAGAATAATCCACCGGCATAGACTTTGCTTTGGTTAGCTGGATTCTTCTTGAATCATTTACGTTGAAGTTCGGAAATTAACTCCGTTAAAACACCGGCAGTAAATAACGAAATACCAACATATTGTAAGAGACCTAATTCAATCGATAGGCCGAAATAAACCGATGAAAGTGAAGAGATTGAGTTCAATAAGTGTTATAAAAACATATTCCTACAGCAGGTAGATAGTTTACTTTTGTTTCTAAAATCTAAAATATATCACTAATTTGTTTTTAAGCGCAACCAGCTGCCATTGCTACTAGAAATGTGCCTTTCGGACCAGCAGGGACAGTGGAAAGCCCGAATAGGTATAACAAGAGGAAGTGGATGAGAAGTTTTATCCGAACAGCCGAATATCGAATGTGCACCTTTCGATTGATTCGTCATAGTTTATGATAGCCGTCTAACTTTGTTTGTTTCTGGCTTGTCTCTATAAACTATAAACACAATATTTCTTTGATTAATCTATACTGAAAAATATAAAACTAATCGATAGTTGGCGCCATATATCAATATTATTTTTGTTTCTTTTCCAGTCAGATTTTCGTTGAACATAGATTACAATTATCGTTTTGGTATCCTTGTGTATAGTTCAAGAAAGTAAGAGCCAATTGTTTCAGCTTCGTAAGAAATTATATTTTGCTAAACGATTATTGTTCTAGTCGGGCACGTTTAAAGTAAAGTTGGCATCGGTAGCTACATTTTATGGACTGCTCAGTTGACCAGCAACATACATATTACCGTATTTGTCAAACGTTAATCCTTTAAGTTTAAACAGAAAGACTTCGTTAAATCCCTGTGTACTGCAAACACCAACCATTACCGTACCAATTGCACCACTCGGCTTCCATTTTACAGTATAGAGTGTACCGGTGAATAGATCTACATATATGCCTGTAAGAGTATTGAGTAACTTTTGTGAAGCTCTTGCAGTGTCTTGTCTAGTCACCATGGCTACATATACCCAGAAGCTGAAGCCAGTTTTAACATGCGATTCGCTCAAATCGAACATAGCGCCATAAATATTACCGGGACTATGTTCTATTTTGTTATTGTAGATCCGTTTGTAACAGGTGGCACAAGATAGTTTTCTCAATTGGTAACGGGCAGAGTTTCATTTTTATACACGTAAATAGCTGTAGGCGGGCTCTTTGTGTCATTAGCAGTAGTTAACATAGTCAGAATTGTGCTCCGATGTAGAAAAGCACCTAATTACGTGGAGAAGAAACAAACTAATATATCCGTTCTTTGTGAATCTGACTTGCATTCAAAATCTGTTACTGTTGCTATCACTGACGTTTCTGGATGATCATTCGATGTAACAATTGGACCTTGAACTAGAAATGTGAATTCAAATGAGATACAAAACCGTAAAAGTAACTTACTTTCAGTAGTTATTCCAGACGTTCTTATTAAAGTTTCACGTTGATTTCTCGGATATAATTGTCGAACGTAAAATGTACTATGTGAATCATTCACCATTGGATAGAAACTATAATTTACATACGCCAATTCACTGAATGACTCGCAAACGATGGCATTATCATTTTGAATAATGCAACTGAGTGATAAAATTGAAGTGTTTATCAGCAGACATATACACTCACGACAGGATGACGTGTAAATTATCTCTCTCATTGAATCCAAACTCAACTAGACATCGGGGATAATCCCTATTTCTACTGTATCAAGTATAGGTGCACTAGTGAAAATGCTAAATATAAATAAAGAGGGTATCTCATTTTGTATTAATTGTATACCTATCTGTAAATAATTGGTGCTGGTTTTTATTATATTTCAGTCTTGTTGGAAATGTTTGTGAATATTTGTTTTTTGAACGAAAAAAAAACAACTGTTAAAATAAATAAGTAGTTCAAACAATGCTGTTTCCCAGCAAATGAGTGTTCATGAAGAATTTAGTACGTCTTTCTGTCAAAATCAATGACGATCTGTTTTGAAAAACTCTCTGAAGCAAACATAAAGTATCACAATCATGGCTCTTCAACCCAGAAGCCAATCTCTGTACATTTACAGGAGCAAAAGCTGACTATTGCCACCAAGGTAGAGTTTTCTTGTATAATTGAGGATACATGTATGTGTGGCTGTCGTTTATTTGATGAAATTGTTTTAATCGTTCGAAATGAATCATTTCATCAGCAGAAACAGAATCTACTCTCAATGACTAAAAAGGTCGAACGATTGGAGTAGAATTTTAGTCACCTGTATGATTAGTTGGCTATGTTGTACAGTATTTTTTCGACAATTGACGATTAAGTCCGCAGGAAGCTTGTTTAACGAATGTTAACGTCATATTTGATGCTACCAATTTGAAAGACGTCATCGATTCACGTAGGTTTTGTTTATCACTATGTCGTCATGAAACGCATGAGTCACATCTTATCGGTTTTTGCTGTCAACTTTTTGCACTTGTTGAATATATATGCTTTCAAATTGATAGTGTTGTGTAGACACGAAAAAAAAAACATGCATATTCTTATTCGTTGTTGCTTGGCTCTTGTTATTCTAGCAGTAATCGTCGATTCTCAAGGCGCTCGAGGCGGCGGTGGATTCCGTGGAGGTGGTAGTACTTTCAGAGGTAAATTGATAATTAGTTTTCATAGGTAATTGATTTAAAGCTTATTTTGGCGTAGGAGGATATCGATCAACTAGTAGTGGATGCACCGGAAGTGGCTGTCCTAATGCAGGTGTCATTGTTGGTGCTGTCTTGGGCAGTATTTTCGGTTTGGTTGCTATTATACTTGGTGCAATGTATTGCTATCATCGGTCGAAAGGAAGACCATTGCATTCAAATCCGAATTTTGTCGCAACAGCGTCTGGTAACCAGGATCAAATGTATTCAAAAGCTTGTTTTGAAACAGGTGTTTGGTCTAGTCGTTATCATCAATATAACTCGTGGCACGGGCCCTATCAATTATCATTAACATTCGATCCTAAAATGTCAAGAGTCGATGGAAAAGGATCAGACGACGTTGGTTCATATACTATTGATGGTGTTTATTCATATCAGACGAATCGTTTGGCCTTGACTAAAATATACACGCCAGGTACAGGTAACGCCCTGGAAAACTATGGACATAATGTAACATTACAGATGGATTGGAACGCAGCAACGAATCAGTTCGAAGGAAAATGGTTCATTCAATCAAAGAAGTATCGCGGAGTTGATAAATTCGAAATGAAATTTCATCAAGCTGCAGAGATACCATGTTATCAACCGAAATATTGAGTTGATTTGTCTCTTGTGTGATTATTTATATATAATAAGATTTTTTACACTATACAATGCACAATGATTAATTTTTGTATTGCCAATATTGCATTTCCTTTTTTAGCCATGTGATTTTGAAGAATTTTTTGCTGAAACACACTCGAGACATTTTTCATCGTCAGGTGACACTATTATGAAATTCATTAGTACGTTATAATATATAATTAGCACGAGGGAGGGATTCAGACAATCAGTCAGACGACAAAGGTCATGTGATAAAAATTTCTTTTGTTTTGAGCGCGTCGAACGAGTAATATAAACTCGTTTTGCTGCGATCAACATAAATTCAAGATGGATGAAAGGTTGGCCTGTTTTTGAAAAAAGTACTATGCTTCTACATTTCACTGAAGATGAGTATTCTGTGTTGATAGTCGACTGGCATCGATCGATAGATCAATCGAACTTATTAATATTTTATATATGACATAGAATGATAATATCTAGGAAAAAAGTAGGTTGAACAAGTTCTCTTATAATCACATCTAATTTCTATTGCTTGACCGATTTTCAATTACACGCTTTAATCAACTTAGGCTTGTTTTCTATGTAAATTTAGAAATACTTCACATAGGTCTGTTTTAATTAACTTGAAGAAACTGCAGAAGCATTCACTTGCGATATGATGTTCTGTCTCTGTATCAAATCTCTCTCAATTCACTCATTCATCGATTGACATTATAACATGTCATCCGCTGCATCATATTTACCTTTGCTACAACGATATTTGACACGTTATGGCATGACAACTTATAATGTTCTTGGTAATATTGGCCTAGTGTTCAATATGATGCTCTTTCTTTGGCCAGTATTTCGTCGAAATCCCTGTTCAATTTATATCTTTGCCGCATCGCTAACTGGTCTAATTGGTTTGAATATCTCAACAATACCTGTCATTCATGCATTAGATCATCCTAATCCATCAACAGTATCGGTTCGATTTTGCGAATTACAGTTTTATTTTCGTCATTCGTTCAATCAGATGATGCGTACATACTTCATTTGCGCATGTATTGATCGTTATGCGATATCAAGTGGTAATAAACGTATTCGATCTTTCAGTCGATTTCGAATAGCTGTATATATTATCATTAGTGTTCCAATCTTTTGGTTTTTATTAGCTTTATGGCCGAATACATTAAATACACTTGAGAATGGTCGGTGTGGCGGGAAAAAAGGTCTATCTGCCATCATTTTATCCATATACATGACTCTTGTGGTTGGTATCATTCCCTTGTTAGGCATGATTATTTTTGGACTATTAATGTTAAAAAATTTGAGAAATGTTCGTTCACGTGTTCAACCAAATTCAACTGTCGGTGTATCTGCACCACGCATTCATAAACGTGATCGAGATATGACTAAAATGTTATTGATTGAAATCGTGGGGTATATTATAACAATATCACCATTTGCAATTAATCTATTATATCAGTCTGCTACTCAAACAATCACGAAAAGTGTAGATCAACAGTTGATTGAATCTTTTAGTACTTATTTCAATGGAACGTTTTTAATTTACATGAATAATAGCTTCTCGTTTTGGATCTATATCTGCGTATCTCGAACATTTCGATCAGAAGTGAAAAACTTATGTCTGAAATGCTGTAAAATGATTTCAAATCAGTCTACACAATGGAATACAAGTGTCACATAAGAAAACTCACTATAATCAACTCTTGAATGTAAATTTTTATGTTGTAAAGTTTAATTTCGTTGTTGTTATCATCATCGTTTGATATAACAAGGACAAAGCACACAAATAGGATCTTATCTCTTAGCAAAGCAAAGTAAATTAACATGCGTATGTTGTTTTGAAAGAACAGTTGCAAAATATGGTTGAAGAAGTTCGAAAATACGACACAGTTAGCGCATTCCTCGATGATTGCAAGACTTATCTTATGCGAAATGAATGCGAAAATAATCTAATTTTGGGAATATGCAATCGGAATCTTAACGTACCTATCGATCCGGAAAAATCGATTTTAGTCGCAGCTGTTAACAAAAGTGGTACTATCATTTCATGTGCATTTACAACATCCAGTAAACCGGCGTTGGCGGTATTCATTCCACAATTGGATGATGCAATTAAACCCCTAGTAGATTACTTTATTCGCCATGGAATACAGTTAGAAGGATTGAATGGTAAAACTGACGTGGTTAATACATTTTTGCAACATTATTCAAAGCCGATGATTCAATCGACGAAAATTCTTCTAAATGTCGTCAAAACTCTTCGGAATATTGAACTCGTTCAAAATAGCGAACTCGAATTGGCGAGCATGCAAGATTTATCTCTTCTCACCACATGGATAAAAAATTTTCAAATCGATGCGGGTCTCCTTCCATTGTGGTCAGACGAAAAAATACAAGCAACTACAGCAGATAGAATTCAAAAGAAGCTTGTTTTCGTTCTTGTTATAAATGACGAGCGACAATTCGTCAGTATGGCGGCTATTGTACGTGAAACAGATAACTTGAGCTTCATCGGTTGGGTGTATACACCACCGGATTTACGAAACAAAGGATTTGCCTCTGCTGTCGTTTATAAACTAACCGATTTGATTCTTAATACTCGACAAAGACATTGTGCTCTTTTCACCGATGAAGCTAATCCGACTTCGAACAAGATTTATCGAAATATTGGTTACGAACCAGTGGCAGAATATCTAGACATTTGTTTTTCATCATCTTGAAAATGAATGCCTAATGACAGTTCAATAAAGTTTGATATGAGTGCACTTAGCACAAGTGAAATAATATCAGATCACCACTTTGAAAGATCTTAAAATATGACCAAGACCCGAAATCTGTATATATATATATGGTGAGAGCGTTCGTGGCTTCTGCAAACCATACTAATTGAATAATTTTCTAAATGAATAGGTTATTCTTTTGAGAATAGTACAACTAGCGTACTTTTCACCTATCTACACTTTTATTCCTATGATTTAGAGGTAAATAAAATAATTGATCCTACGAAAAAAAAACAATACACGAGGTTAGATAATGTTATCTTTTCTCCAACATCGAATAATACTAGGTAGTTAAAATGTCACATGCAGTACATACAAAAGTAGCGACTTTTGAAAAAGAAAAGATTGAGACATATGGGTGTTTTGTCACACTACATAAATCCATCTGATGTCCAGAGAGGAGATCATGTCTATGCACTACGAAAGATGGGAATCTATCAACATCATGGTATTGTTATTACGTATGCAGATGCTCAACGACTCAAACCAATACCAGGAGTCATTGAACCATTTATGGTTATCGAACAAAATAGAGGAGACACGGGCAAAACTAAATTCGATGGATTGAATGTAGTTTCTCTGGAAATCTTCCAAGCTGGTCATTCACTTCGTCGTGTTCAATATAGTGAAAATCCATTTCTATATGGGATTAAAAGACGTGGATCATGCAGACTCGATCTGGCCATTCCACCTGACTTAATAGTTGAAAACGCTATATTGATTTATAATGAAGAACGGTCCAAGTGGTCTACCTATTCACTATTGAAACGAAATTGTGAACACTTTGCTTTCATATGTTGCACGGATCAAAGTAGACTAAGCGAACAANTACAACAAAACCAACATCGACAACAAGTATCAACACTTTGGTATGCGAATCTGATTGCACACTTCATTTCAATCATTCCGAATGTTGATATTTATAGTTAACAACAACTGGCATAGTGGTTACAACTACTACTCCTATCACAACACCACCAACGACTTCGACAACTACACCACCAACTACAGCTGGTAAGTCATACAACATCACAAGGGTGTTTCACATTCATGTTGCGTGTTATCTAGCTCCAACAACAGCCGGTCCAACAGCTCCAGGAGTGACAACGGAGTCCACAGTTGCTGTCATGTATCCAAAAGACTTCGTAAACTTTTCATTCTATCTGGATATCTGTATAACTCTGTTTTCTATCTCTCTCATAGGAAGATGCATGTAAATCATCTGTGGCAACGATGACAGCTGTGATACTTGCTGCATTGGCTCCTATACACACTATGGTTATGTATGCTACATTCACCAAACTGGAGAAGATGTTCAGTCCATCTCGTGTGAATGCTGGTACACGGCACAAGTTGCGAATGAAACGAATCATGCGACCATAACGACAACATCACTAATTTGGACTACTATATGCTTTATCAAGAAGTGCGTGATTTTTTCCTTAAATAAAAACTACTAAGAGTGAGCAAATTGTATTTTTACCTCTGTAGAAGTGCATAGTTTCATTTTTATACACATAAATAGCTGTAGGCAGACTCTTTGTGTCACCAGCGGTCGTCAACATAATCGGAATTGTGCTCCGATGTAGAATAGCACCTAATAACGTGGAGAAGAAACAAATTAATATCTCCGCTCTTCATAAATCTGACTTGCATTCAAAATCTATTATTATTGCTATCGCTGACGGTTCTGGATGTTCATTCGATGTAACAATTGAACCTTGGACTAGAAATGTGAATTTGGATGAGATATAAAACCGTAAAAGTAATTTACTTTCAATAGTTATTCTAGACGCTCTCATTGAAGTTTCGCATTGATTTCTCGGATATCATTGCCGAAAGTAAAATGTACGATGTGAATCATTCACCGTCGGATAGGAACTACAATTTGCATGTACCAATTCACTGAACGACTCTGAAACGATGGCATTATCATTTCGAATAATGCAACTGAGTGAAAAATTGAAATGTTTAGGGTGTCTCTCTGTCAAAATCAATGACGATCTGTTTTGAGAAACTATCTGAAGCAAACACAAAGCATCACGAGCATGGTTCTTCGACTCAGAAGCTAATCTCTGTACATTTTTACAGGAGCAAAAGCTTAATGTTTGCCACCAAGGTAGACTTTTCTTGTACAATTGAGGATATATGTATGTGCGACTGTCGTTTATTTGATGAAATTGTCTTAATCGTTCGAAATGAATCATTTCATCAGTAGAAACAGAATCTACACCCATTGACTAAAAAGGTCGAACGATTGGAGTAGAATTTCAGCCACATGTATGATTAGTTGGCTATGTTGTACAGTATTTTTTTCGATAATGGATGATTCAGTTCGCAGGAAGCTTGTTTAATCAATGTTAACGTCATATTTGATGCTGCCGATTTGAAAGACGTCATCGATTCGCGTAGGTTTTGTTTATCGCTATGTCGTCATGAAACGTATGAGTCACATCTTATCGGTTTTTGCCGTCAACTTTTTGCACCTTTTGAATATATATGCTTTCAAATTGATAGTGTTGTGTAGAGAAGAAAAAAAACATGCATATTCTTATTCGTTGTTGCTTGGCTCTTGTTATTCTAGCAGTAATCGTCGATTCTCAAGGTGCTCGAGGCGGCGGTGGTGGATTCCGTGGAGGTGGTAGTACTTTCCGAGGTAAATTGATAATTAGTTTTCATAGGTAATTGATGTAAAGCTTATTTTGGCGTAGGAGGATATCGATCAACTAGTAGTGGATGCACTGGAAGCGGCTGTCCTAGCGCAGGTGTCATTGTTGGTGCTGTCATGGGCAGTGTTTTCGGTTTGCTTGCTATTATATTCGGTGCAATTTATTGCTATCATCGATCGAAAGGAAGACCATTGCATTCGAATCCGAATTTTGTCGCGGCAGCGTCTGGTAACCAGGATCAAATGTATTCGAAAGCTTGTTTTGAAACAGGTGTTTGGTCTAGTCGTTATCATCAACATAACGCGTGGCACGGGCCCTATAAGTTGTCATTAACATTTGATTCTAAAATGTCAAGAGTCGACGGGCAAGGATCAGACGACGTTGGTTCATATACTATTGAGGGTGTTTATTCATATCAGACGAATCGTTTGGCTTTGACTAAAATATACACACCAGGTACAGGTAACGCCCTGGAAAACTATGGACATAATGTGACATTACAGATGGATTGGAATGTAGCAACGAATCAGTTCGAAGGAAAATGGTACATTCAATCAAAGAAGTATCGCGGAGTTGATAAATTCGAACTGAAATTTCATCAAGCTACAGAGATACCATATCATCAACCGAAATATTGAGTTGATCTGTTTCCTGTGTGATTATTTATATAGAATAAGATTTTCCACACTATATACAATGCACAATGATTAATTTTTTTTATTGCCAATATTGTATTTCTTTTTTAGCCATGTAATTTTGAAGAACTTTTTTACTGAAACACACTCGAGACATTTTTCATCGTCAGGTGACACTTTTATGAACTTCATTAGTACATTACAATATATAATTAGCACGAGGGGTGGATTCAAAAAATCAGTCAGACGACAGAGGTCATGTGATAAAAAAGAATTTTGTTTTGAGTGCGTCGAACGAGTAATATAAACTCGTTTTGTTGCGATCAACATACAATCAAGATGGATGAAAGGTTGACCTATTTTTGAAAAGAGTACTATGCTTCTACATTTCACTGAAGATGAGTATTCTGTGTTGATGGTCGACTGGCATTGATCGATAGATCAATCGAACTCATTAATATTATATATGACATAGAATGATAATATCTAGAAAAAAAGTAGGCCGAACAAGTTCTCCTATAATCACATCTAATTTCTATTGCTTGACGGATTTTCAATTATACACTTTAATTAACTTAGGTTTGTTTTCTATCCAAATTTAGAAATACTTCACGCAGGTCTGTTTTAATTAACTTGAAGAAACTGCAAAAGTATTCACTTGTGATATGATGTTCTATCTCTGTATCAAATCTCTCTTCATTTACTCATTCATCGATTGACATTATAACATGTCATCCGCTGCATCGTATTTACCTTTGCTACAACGATATTTCACACGTTATGGCATGACAACTTACAATGTTCTTGGTAATATCGGCCTAGTATTCAATATGATGCTCTTTCTTTGGCCAGTATTTCGTCGAAATCCCTGTTCAATTTATATCTTTGCCGCATCGCTAACTGGTTTGATTGGCTTGAATATCTCAACAATACCTGTTATTCATGCATTAGACCATCCTAATCCATCAACAGTATCGGTTCGATTTTGCGAATTACAGTTTTATTTTCGTCATTCGTTCAATCAGATGATGCGTACATACTTCATTTGCGCATGTATTGATCGTTATGCGATATCAAGCGGTAATAAACGTATTCGATCATTCAGTCGATTTCGAATAGCTGTATATATTATCATTAGTGTGCCAATCTTTTGGTTTTTATTAGCTTTATGGCCGAATACATTAAATACACTTGAGAATGGTCGATGTGGCGGGAAAAAAGGTCTATCGGCCATCATTTTATCCATATACATGACCCTTGTGGTTGGTATCATCCCCTTGTTGGGCATGATTATTTTTGGATTATTAATGTTAAAAAATTTGAGAAATGTTCGTTCACGTGTTCAACCCAATTTAATGGTCGGTGTATCTGCACCGCGTATTCATAAACGTGATCGAGATATGACTAGAATGTTATTGATTGAAATCGTGGGCTATATTATAACAATAGCACCATTTACAATTAATCTGTTATACCAGTCAGCTACTCAAACAGTCACGAAAAGTGTAGATCGACAGTTGATTGAATCTTTTAGTACTTATTTCAATGGAACGTTTTTAATTTACATGAATAATAGCTTCTCATTTTGGATCTATATCTGCGTATCTCGAACATTTCGATCGGAAGTGAAAAACTTATGTTTGAAATGCTGTAAAATGATTTCAAATCAGCCTACACAATGGAATACAAGCGTCACATAAGAAAACTCACTATAATCAACTCTTGAATGTAAATATTTACGTTGTAAAGTTTCTTTTCATTGTTATTTTTATCATCATCGTTTGATATAACAAGGAGAAAGCACACAAATAGGATCTTATCTCTCAGCGAAACAAAGTAAATTAACATGCGTATGTTGTTTTGCAAGAACAGTTGCAAAATATGGTTGAAGAAGTTCGAAAATACGACACAATCGGCGCATTTCTAGATGATTGCAAGACTTATCTCATGCAAAATGAATGCGAAAATAATCTAATTCTGGGAATATGCAATCAGAATCTTAACGTACCTATTGATCCGGAAAAATCGATTTTAGTCGCAGCTGTTAACAAAAGTGGTACTATCATTTCATGTGCATTTACAACATCGAGTAAACCGGCGTTGGCAGTATTCATTCCACAATTGGATGATGCAATTAAACCTCTAGTAGATTACTTTATTCGTCATCAAATACAGTTAGAAGGATTGAATGGTAAAAGTGACGTGATTAATACATTTTTGGAACATTATCCAAAGCCTATGATTCAATCGGTGAAAATTCTTCTAAATGTCGTCAAAATTCTTCGGAATATTGAACTCGTTCAAAATAGCGAACTCAAACTGGCGAGTATGCAAGATTTACCTCTTCTCACCACATGGTTAAAAAATTTTCAAATCGATGCGGGTCTACTTCCATTGTGGCCAGACGAAAAACTACAAGCAACTACAGCGGATAGAATTCAAAAGAAGCTTGTTTTCGTTCTTGTTATAAATGACGAGCGACGAATCGTCAGTATGGCGGCTATCGTACGTGAAACAGATAACTTCAGCTTAATCGGCTGGGTGTATACACCACCGGATTTACGAAACAAAGGATTTGCCTCTGCTGTTGTTCATAAACTAACCGATTTGATTCTTAATACTCGACAAAGATATTGTGCTCTTTTCGCCGATGAAGCTAATCCGACTTCGAACAAGATTTATCGAAATATTGGTTACGAACCAGTGGCAGAATATCTAGACATTTGTTTTTCATCATCTTGAAAAGGAATGCCTAATGACAGTTCAATAAAGTTTGATATGAGTGCACTTAGCACAAGTGAAATAATATCAGATCACCACTTTGAAAGATCTTAAAATATGACCAAGACCCGAAATCTGTATATATNCAAAGAGGAATGTACAAAAAACAAAGAAAAGTATGAAGATAAACTCGCCAGTGGATATGCTATTAAAACAAGGATTTATGTGAAATGTTTAATTCAAGCTGCAACAGCTAATGGGGCTTCCATAGGTTTTTCAATTGCTGGAGGAATAATCGGTGCTTTTATACCCCTTCCAGGTGCAACAGTTGGCTTTTCAATTCTTTTCGGTTTTATAGGTTACGCCATTGTTCGCTGGGGCACTGGAGTACTGATGAATTTTTTAGAAAAGCTATTTGAAGATAAATATGTATCATTATCGGCTGGTGAAAACGAACCTTGGTGTCAGTGCATGGTATAAATATAGTTTGTGTTTTTTTGTTAATCAAGATCCCTGTAATAAATTGTTGAAACTGCATAAACCGTTCTATACGTTCATTTTCGTAATTTATTCTCTAAGCTAATATAGATTTTTGAGGATGCATATGATGGGCAGATTGTCCCTCACGTTGTATGATTACTTTCATGTAATGTGTTACTCATGGACAATCGTTGACGACATATGAGTTTTTCTTACGAAACTACTCAATGTTTGTGTAAGTGTGAGGCATTGCATCATACACTTTCAACTGATTTATTCGAGAAAAAAAACACGACTGAATCGCTCCTGGATGGACTCGAACCATCAATCTTCCGGTTAGAGGCCGGTTGCGTTAGCCATTGCGCCACAAGAGCACGAGTATGTATCATATTGTGAACACCCTCATTCTCACGGACACAAAACTGATAAGGAGTTACGAAACATAAACTGTCAACATGCACTCATGGATATGTTTGAATAAATAAATACTAGTGAAGAATAAAAAGTTTCGGATCGTGTACTCGAACTTGTAATCGTTCGATTAGTGTTATTCTCATAATAAATATTTATATCATCACAATTAATAACACTGATCGTCGCGTTTGATTTCAAGTACGCTTGGATATTTTGACCATTGTAAATTGTTAAACATGCGTTCGACTCCAAATAAGCTGTGATATCTTTGCCATTGGAAATTTCAACATACCCATCGGTTTGAACATAGACGAAGACATCCTCCGCATTGCTAATGATCAATGTAGCATTTGACTCAAGATAAGCTGTGACATTTTTGCCATTTGGAACGTTAAGAGTTACATTTTTTTTAATATAAAATCCATTCGTAGTACCCTTATTAGTCGTGGATCTGCTAGCGTTGACGCAATCCCACGTTTGTCCTGATAGAGGAACAACTGCATTGTATGATAAGTTTGCTGTCGCTGTTGACCGTGTCGAAGTTCTTGATACCGTAGACATGATCGATGACGAGTTTGTCTCTTTAGAAAAAAAATGCGAATAGATCATATTTTTTTTTTACAAAAATGATGACTTGCTTATTAATTCATTAGTAGTATCAGAAGGAAAAACTACTGTTGACGCTCTGTCGATGATGGGTAAAAGCAGAAAGTAAAGTGAGCCGGCTGAATTATTCATTAACGATAAAGACTCAAAAATTAAAGGTTGTGAAAATATTTCACATGTGTCATTATTAGGAAAGCAATTAATAGCAAAGATTTTTGTTGTGTTAAAGAGCATGTCACATAAGCATGCGCGACAAGTGCCATTCACTGTAGTAGAACTGTAGTTGGTCACTTGTAGAGAGACATTATAAATCACTGGAAGAGAATTTGTACCGTTCGACACTGTTACGATTGAATGCAGAAGGGTAATATAGAAGAAATTGCATCGCATTTCTGATTGATAAGAATTCAAAATGAGATAAAAAAATAAAATTCTCGTTTCCTTCTTATAAGTTATCGGCGAGAACAAAGTCTTCGGGAATAAAAGGAATTCTTTACAGAATGGTGTGATTCGGCCGATGTTTGTCTAAATTGTCCGGAAGCGATTTTTATTTAATTTCTAATCAATCAACGAACGGAAAAAATAATAAATGGTATATGTATATATGCCAAAGTGTCGTTTGATCATCATAGATCTTTTTTATGTTTTTAACATGATTTCACTGTTTTTCAGTAAGACGATCAATATTACACTTAACTCTAAGTGCCACCGGATGATTGTGTGGTAGAAACTTGTCAAACATGAACAATGCTTGTAGATTATAGTCCAACGCTGTGTCACTTTGATTTTGTTCTTCATAACATTCAGCAAGTTGAACGAAACTGTAGCCTATATCACTATGTCCATCAGGATATGATACTTGTCGCATTACCAATGCTTGTTGGTGATATTGTAAAGCTTCGTCGACTTTCCCTTGATGATAGAGAACTGATCCAATTCCATCCAAACTTACAGCAATGTAAGGATGATCTGGCGGAAGTAATTTCTTGCGCATACTTAGCGCCTGATGGTGGCAACTTAAACTTTCATCGTACTTCCGTTGCTTTTCATAAATACGACCACTCGTGTGTATACTTTTAGCAGTATCAATGTGACCATTTGGATAGAATTGCTCACGAATTTTCAGTGCTCGTTGACAATTGTCTAGTGCCTGATCGTATTTCTGTTGATGATACAAAGTATGGCCGATATTGTTCAGACTTGCAGCTATATCAACATGATCGTCGGGATAGAATGCTCGTCGAACCTTTAGCGCCTGTTGATGATACTCTAAAGCTTGTTCGTAATTGCCTTGTTGGTCAAGAATCAGTGCAATGTAATTGAGACTTTGAGCGATATCAACGTGACCATCTGGATAGATTTCTTCGCGAATTTGTAAGATTCTTTTATGTAGATCCAAAGCTTCATTAAACTTTCCCTGTCGATATAGAGAACCAGCGATGTTATTCATAACTACAGCCAAGTCTTTGACTCGTGGCGGTATCGCCTCGATCATTCGATCATAAGCTCGACTATAATATGTCCGCGCCTGTTCCCATTGGCTTTTATAATCGAGAGCTTGTCCAATATTGAATTCAATCCATGCGAGATCATCTCCATTTGGTTCTTTTAGTAGTTCTTCAAAATACTCCTGTGATTGATTATATTGACCGAGGTTACACATCAGTTGACCGAGAACGATAGCAACACTTTTGCTCTCTACTTCCTGTTTCGTTAGATTCATGTAATCTTTCGTTATTCGTTCTCCTTCAGTTGACACATCCATACGAACAAAGTTTATTGAATCTATTTCTTCGATCGAAATTAGTTGAAATGCTGCATTTAAATCAAATAGTACTTCTTCTTCCGACGGATAAGCACTGAATCGAGCGATATCAGCATAGGTCACACTTTTCCCAATCTTTTCCACATGACATTCGATGTGAAAGAGAACGCGAACGTCATTCGGACTTCTCGTGGCTTTCTTGATGAATTTCATCGCCTGTGTTCGCGATCGACTAGTTGATAAGTACCCATTCGTCGAGATAATCTTTCCTTGACTTGCTTGAAGTTTTTCCAGTTCTTTTCGATCCAAGTAAGTTCCTCGATAAAGATTCAGGGTCTTTTGATTCGACAAGAAAAGTTGTTCTTGTTCCTTGACGAGACTGTTGGATAGATCATGAATGAAGAAACGAAACGTTTGTAGTTGATTCAGATCTTCTGTTCGCAATGCTTTGTTAATCAACTTAAAAAGAAATGATTGTTTCGAATACCACTGAATTGCGTTCGAACCGCAGAATTCATTTTCGAATCGCTCGATCATGTTTAACTCTGCTCGATTCCCACGATAATAATTTCGACAAAACTCAAGCATTTGCTGTTTTGCCTGTTGATTGATCGGCAGAAGAACAATTAATTGATGAAAAAGTTGAAACCAAAGAAATTCAGCGGATTGCTGAGATAAATCTTTCGTTGATCGTTCCCGGTGATCGAACGTACTGAACGTCTGTAGTTGTTTATTGAAAAGATCGATTTGATGTCGAATGGACGAACAAAGTTCGTCCAGATTAACATAGATACCAACGATTTTGTCATATTCATTGGTTAAATGCATCCATTTATCTTTCATCATACAAAAGACAAAGATTAAATCGACTTGATCGAGATTGGCCACGTGAGGCAGGATATGTGATGCTTTCGAACCTGATGTGATTAAAAAGATCTTTTCGTGATTAATTGATCGTATATACTTGACGCATCGATCAACATCTGTAAAAAAGCTAACATAATCATTGATGGAACGTAATTGTTGTTTGGTCAGTTCGGCATCTTCTACGGAGTCAATATTTGGATCAAACCAAATGAGTGTGGTACTTTCTTTATTTTGATCGATTCGTACGGAAAGTGATGGTATCTGATTGGTTTTCTTCTCGATCTTTTTGTGTATTTTTTGCATTAGTTTATTCATGATCTTCAGATTTGATGTTGGAGGAATGTTTACTGCGTGATGTGTATTGAAAAAAGGTAAAGCGTACGCATTAAGAAAGGCGAAAAGAATTCAATAAGTTTCTCGATGTCTTTTAACAATAACAAACGCGCTGTTTTCTCTCCACATGCTTTCAACGTCGATGAATTCATGCTAAGCTTGAAACTCGAGAAATACACCTCTAAACAATCAAGTGAAGCCGTTCCATTTCTGCAACACAAATCATTTACTTGATAGAAGGTAGACACACAAGCTCATTTCATCGATTATTCTATTAACTAAGAGCGCGTACTGTGCCACTATCAGTACGATTTAAATATTCAATATGAATTTCTTCTTTGAACAAAACGAATACGGATATTGTGATTTTGAATATTTGTATCCAATCTTACAAACGGAACAATATCGTCGGATTTAAGTCGCGAGAAACGTATACATCAACTCGGTCAGGATGGATAATTTTCACTATCGCACTTTTTAACAATCGATATGTCATCATTCCCATCTTGTCGATGATAAACAAGTATGCTATCATAGTCATTAGAAGACGGTATCTGACACTCATCATTTCTATTTGTCATGATACAATGTGTGCGTGTTATCTCGATTCCTCTGATATTGTCATAAACCAATAACATCGGAAGTAAAACTGCAACATCATCATCATATACTTCAGAGTATAGTATGCTCTTTGGTATACTCTTCTGAAGTGACTAATAAATGCAGTATCTGATTTATCGAGTGAATTTGTCATATTAAGACATATATGTGTATTACACTATCGACGAAGCGATTATATATTTGATTATCGTAAACTTTACGATACAAAAGTGGAAAGGGATCATAACGAAAGAGTATTTTGTGAAACGTTGACGGTCGCTTCAGACGCAACTTACTCTATTGAATATGGAACAGCGAAGTCGTCCTCTACTGATTATACTAGGTGCTATTGCCCTCTTTGTTATTATCACATTTGCCCTAGCTGCCGCTGCGCTTGGCACCTTGAACAAACGATTCAATGACCTTGAGAAGAAGCTGGTTACGACAACTACGCCAATAAG